AAAACATTAATCGACTTGGATTTATCATCTAACGAATCAAGTAATGAATAGCGCAAAACGAGATTATTTTTTCTCACCTTTTTTTAGTTTAAAAAAGTTTTAATAATCAAATATTGGTTAAAAAGTTCATTACCTTTTTATTGTGTCATTTTTGTTAAAAAACGATCATTATATAAAAAACAATTGTTCGAGTCACAAAAAATATTTTTACGTCACTTAATAGGCAACGCGTTGAAGTGAAAAAGTGAATTAAGAGCTAAGTTTAAAAGTAAAAACTATAAACGATAACGCGGACGTACGCTGTTGTATTCAAAAACCAATAGCATTCAGCTAGTGTTCTAAAAATAGATTTTTTTAGTACTAAAAGGCATTAAGGTAAAGATATTTTAGAAAATTGCACAAAATCAATAGAATTTTCTAAAAACGCAAATTATTGTTGGTTGATAGCGGTAAAACAAACAATTTGACGTCACCTAAACTGTACGCTATTAAAGAAAAAGTTAAGAAAAATTTGATCGTCTGGATAATTTTTTGATCGTCTACTTTATTACTTTTATTATTTCTGCCGATCAGTGTTGATCGGCAACCTTCAAATAATTATTTCGAGCGCTGCTTAGTGTATTAAAAACCATATACACTGTTTAAATGAAATGGTCAATTGATCATATTGCAAAAATTAATGAAAAAACAAAACAATAAATTTACTACTGTAAAAATAATAACAGTCAAAACTTTCATATTTTTAGTTATTGTTTTCTTAAACACTAGGTATTTTCAAGAACTATAAATTGAGAAAAAAGTTTAAAGAAAAAAAATAATTTTTACTTAAGGTCCAAAAAATTTGCGCTATGATTAAAAAATCAACCAATAAAAAATTACGCTAAAGCTATATGCGCATTGTATGAAACATTAATATCAATTTTTGTTATTTATTTAAAAATTTAAATGTTTTAAATTAAAAATTAATTAATTTATAATATATAATAATAATAAAAAAGAGATGTATTTTAAAATAAGTTGTTAGAGTTTTTTAACTAAAACAAAGTGTCTTTAAATAGCATTAAACAACACTGTCTTTAAATAGTATTAATAGGCATTGCCTATTTGTTTTTTAAACGCGGCAACAAGTATATATGAATATGTGTGTGTGTGTGTATATATGTATCTATGTGTGTATATATATATATATATATATATATACATATATATATATATATATATATATATATATATATATATATATATATATATATATATATATATATATATATATATATATATATATATATATATATATATATATAAAATATGTAGAAAATCACTTAACAATTTTTATTTTTATTTTACACTGTGTTTCATCAACAAAGACTCATCAGAAATGAATGATCTAATTAATAAAACTTCAATTTATACCAAAAAATTAAATTACAGGAAGTCGCAAAATTTAATTTTTTGGTATAAATTGAAGTTTAATTAATTTGATCATTCATTTCTGATGAGTCATTGTTGATGAAACACAGTGTAAAATGAAAAAAATTTTTGTTAAGTAATTTTCTACTAATTTATAATTGCTCTGTTCTTTTAAGAACATTGAGCACTCTATTTTTTAGAATACATTTTTTTAAAATTGTTTAAATATATATATATATATATATATATATATATATATATATATATATATATATATATATATATATATATATATATATATATATATATATATATATATAGATTGACTGAGTAGATAGGAAGTGTGTGTGTGTGTGTGTGTGTGTGTGTGTGTGTGTGTGTGTGTGTGTGTGTGTGTGTGTGTGTGTGTGTGTGTGTGTGTGTGTATATATATATATATATATATATATATATAGTTTGACTGAGTAGATAGGTAGAACATGCTAGGAGTGTTGTTTATATATATATATATATATGTATATATATGTGTATATATGTGTGTGTGTGTATATATATATATATATATATATATCACAGTGACAAAATTAAATTTTATTTGGGGATACCATTTTTTTTGACAAAGGGGGGAGGGCAGAGAGTACATTCTTTATTAAGCGAGTTGTAAATAATGAACTAGCTAAAATAAACAGAAAATTCGAAACTGAAACTTTTTTTTTCTACTTTAAATAAAAAAGCATTAGAAAAATATTTAAAAATAAATATTTTGGGGTGCTATACTGCTTCCGCATTACCACAACAGATCAGTGTTATTTCATGTATATATGTAGGTGTGTGTTCAGGAAAAGTATAACTAATAACATAATATTTACTGATATTCTAAAAAATGTCTTAAAACACTGGGCCCAAGTGTGATATGATTTGGTTAAAATATACACAAGTTACTGTTCCAGAAAGAAAGGGCTATAGAGCAGTTTGTAATGAATGTAGAAAAAAATGAAAGGTCAACCCTTTAAAGTTATTAAGTCAATAGATCAACAACCTTTGAAAAGTAGTTAATTAAGTTATTGCTTCCTGATTGTAAATAATTTACTTTTTGTAAAATGTAATTGCAGATAGTTTTAATATTTTAGTAAAAACAATGAGTACTTCTGGTCATTCCCATACTAAAGAATATCTTACACAAATGGCAAGAGGAACAGCAGAGTTTGTGACACATAAATATGGATGTACATTAAAAAGTTTTGTGAATGACCAAAGTCAGTGCAATTTTGCAACTAATATAAAATCAATGCGACAAGTATTGTCATCTGAAGGATATGTAATGTTAATTAATGGGTGTGCTGCTCATATGCTAAATCTTTTAGCAAATGATCTTAACATTGAAAATGTGAGCAAGCATGTTATACAGATAATAAAATATATAATATGAAATTTTTAAAAAGCTGATAAACATGTTTTAGGCTAGTTTATTCCAAGTTAAGAAACACGATGGGAAAAGAAAATGTGGCAAAAAAAAAAGGGTTTTTTTTGCAACCCTGATAAAAATAATAGTAATAATATGGTTTTACACTTAGATTTCATATCATAATTCAAGATCCTGTCGTTAAATCTGTTTATGCTCACCTAAACAGCTTCTTACTAGAGCTTTTGGTTTTTGCTTGAGCTATCTGTTTATTCATTAAACAGATAGCTCACCTCCCTACAAAATTTATTTGTATGCAAATTGGACACTAAAGTTTGTAAAATTGAATCTATAGTTGGCAGTCAGCAAATTTTAAATAACAAGGACTTTTTTTTTTTTTAAAAAAAAACAGATTTTAGTTGGCAAAAAAATACTTATAGACCTTACTAGGCAAAAAAAAGATACATTACCACCTCCCCCCCCCCCCCCACCTTTTTTTTTCTCTTAAAGATCTTTTCAATACAGCCCTGTACAAGTGTCATTTTTTGTGTTGTGAAAAAATTCTTTAAATGCGCAATTACTTTGGGTTTACACTCTAGCTATTTATTTATCTATTAACAGCAATACTTATTTGATAAAAAATTTAACAAAGAGCTATAAAAGTTTTTTCTGCTTATAAAAAATGTTTTATATTTTCTTATTGTAATAGAATGCAGGTGTTTTAAAAATTATTACAACAATTGAAAATTCCACAATAAAAGTGATTAATTTAATAAAGTAATTAACTTATAATATAATTTATTACATAAAATAAAAGTTATAAAATAATAATATAGAGTGTAATAATTTTACTTTTATCAGTTAAATAATTTTATATTTTATTAATATAATTTAGAGTGTAGTAATTTTATATTTATCAGTTAGTCCAATCTAATCAAAAACATTGCATTTCAATTAGTGCTCTTTTTTTTTCATTTTTTTTTCCAACAACCCTGCCTTTTAAAAAGAAATTTAAGAATAGTAGTTTATTATGCAATTATTTTATTTTTGAAAAGTAATTTTTTTATTTTATTTACAACAATAATTCTTTTTTTTTATAAGCAACTTTGTGAATTTGACCACATTGTCATTAATGTTATAGTTATATTACATGGTATTTTATAAGTGTGAACTGGCATAATTGCATTGCAAAAACTAAAGTATGTGCTAATTGGCATAAGTGGGCCAAACAAACTTTCAAACATTACAATAAGTGCAAACTGACATAAATGCGAAGCAGTTGCAAAAACTGGCGTAAGTGCAAATTAGTATATATTTGTGAATTGGCATAAGTGCAAACATTAGCATAAATGCGAAGTAGCAAAAAAACTGGAAGTGCAAATTGGCATAAATACGCCAAATCAAATTGAAAATATTAACATAAGTGCAAATAGGCATTTTGCACTTATGCGCTTCAAAACAATTAAATTCTAAATAAAATAGATAAAATTATAACCCAAAAAAAATGTTTTATTTAAGTTCTGAACAGAGTAATATAATTAAAAACAGCAAATCAAACTTTTTATTATAAATTCTAAACAAATTAACTTTAAAAACACAACATTAAAAAAAGGTTCTATTTAATTAAATAAAATATTGGTTTTAATGTGTTTTAAATGAATTTGTCTTTGTTTTAATTTTTTTATTTAGAATTCAATTAAATTCTAAATAAAATAATAGTTGATGTTTTATTGAAATTAATAAACTAAAAATAGAAAAGCGAGTGCTTTTTTTAAAAATAAAACAGAAAAAAAAATTGTTTTTGTAATTCTAAATAAAATAATTAAAATTTAACCTGCAAAACTAATGTTTCATTTAAAATCATGGTAAAATGCTGCGTTCCTTTTTCAAATTTTAAGCAAATGCTGACATTTGAAATGAATGCAGGAAATTCAATTTATAAAAAATAAAATTTTATGCTAAATGTTTGTAGTTTGTTGATTTTTCAAACCCTGTTTTATAAACTTTAAGACCATTTAAATGTTATTATTAAATGTTTGAGTTTTTATAAGTAAATAAATTTTTATTTTTATTTTTGTAAAACTATTTATTTTTATAAATTTTTTTATTAAAATATGGTTTACAATTTTTTTATTATATATCTTTATATCTGTAATTTTTATAATACTATTTTTTCAAACTTTATTAGAAAATTAATGCTAAAAATGCATTTGGGTTGCATCTAATTGATTACATGAAAGATCTTTTAAAACAATCCCAGAATGAAAATGCGGGTACAAATTTTTTGTTGGCAAGTTGTACATTAGATGCAGGTGTTAAAATTTATGCTTATCGTGTTGATTGTATACATAGTGAAGCTTACAAGATTTTGAGTTCATTGGGACGAGCAACAGTTGATAATGAAGAAGATAATGGTAAGAGTGGAGATGTTATTCTATTTAAGTTTAAAAGTATTAGTTTATAAACTTAAATATTGAAAAGTGTCTTTCAATAATTTTTAATGTTGTAATTTTTTACAGTTTTGGTTTGTGATAAAGTTATCTTTAAAAAAATCTGGTTAAACTATAAAAATTCTTATTCAAAAATTTTAACTCAATATCTTATAGCATTCTTAGTTACAGATGTTTTGTTAAATATGTTTATTTATGCAGATGTGATATCCATAAACCAAATTAACATCAAGTTAACATGAGATTTATGGGATGTTGTAAAACACACTAAAATTTTATATAAAACTAAAAAGCTGTTAAAACTTGTCTGAAATAACCATAAAGTTTTTATCAAAATAAAAGTAATTTAAAACTTTAAAAATAGTTATCTTATTTATTATTTTATAATAAAATCTTGTATAATAAATATATAACTAATAAATATAATTTCTTATTGTAATTTGTTTGAATAATTATTTTAACTAGCTGAGATCGGCCTCAGAAAAATACAGGTCTATGTATATCTATTCCAAACCCAATTTTTCTATACTTTTTCCTTATATATCCTAGCTTTCCAGATCCGTAAAATACAAGTCTTTACCAATTTACATATCTATTTCTAGCCGAAAATTTCTATACCTATTCCTTATTTACTTTCAATATTTTTTAGTTAAATAATTTATTCTGAAAAAAAAATTTAAGAGCAAAAAACTTAACATGCGCACCTTTTCTGCATACGTAGACCTTATAAGAGGCTTATAATAAAGTTTTTTTATCTGCTAAATGTATTTCATTGATAGCGCAGTGGTTAAATGCGCTGTCATTAGTTTTGTTTCCGAGGGTTTAAAACCTCTTAGTGTAATTAATTTTGAATTTTTTTTAAACTTGCTTATATATTCATAGCAAAAAAATAAGACTATAGAAAAAAAGATTTCTAAAATTTAAAATAAATTTTTCAAGTTTTCTCATTTTATAGATATATAGATAAACGCGATTATTCCATAAATGCCTGCACACTCAACATAAAGACATTTACACTTATATAAATTTGTACATAACGCTGTACAAATGAAATTAAGAAGATCTAAGAGCACTAAGTCATAAAAAAAAAATTGTTATGATTAAAAACTAAAAGAATAAACGCTTATCGAAAAGTTAAGCCGAAATGATTTTGGGCATTGACGTCAGTTTGTGGCAAAGTAAACCTTTATGTGTCAAGTTTCCTTTTTCATTTATCTTACATTTTTTAATTAATTTTATTATGTTGCATACAAATGCATTAAAATATATAACTGGTACAGATATATCATTTTCACGAGAGAGTATTTATTACAATGGTAAAAAATAAATAGTTTTGGGGCTATCCATAAAGGACGTCATCATTTTTTAGCCAATTTTTGACTCCTCCTTACCCCCTCCTTTGTCACCGGTTATCCTTTGTTCCCTATACCCCTTTGAAAAGGATGTCATAAAATCCTCCTCCCCCACCCCCAATTTAAACCCCTAGAAAAATTATTTTATCTCGCAATGATGTTTGAATCTGCTATTACACCTTTAAATAATACACCTTAAAATAAAATTAAAAATATTCTTATACATTATCTTCTTAAAAACATATATTTACATAGTTTTTCATGTTAATTAAACTAAAATAAAAAATCTATAAAGTGACGTCCTCCCCTTATTCTTTTTTGTCCAACCCCTCCCCCCTCCCTCCCTATTTGGATGATGTCCTTTATGGATGGCCCCTTTTGTCTTTATTAGAATATATTCCATAAAAATGTTTTCCATATATCTTTAATAGATAGAGTTTTTATAAAAAATTGAAATAAAATCTTATGACTATCATTTTTAAAGTTCTAAAAAGCAGATGACTTTAGAAATCAAAAATTATCGAGAGAAGCAAATCTAAAGTTGAAGTTTCAAATTTTCCACTCGAAGTGATAATATGTTTTGTGTTTTTTTAATCTTGTCAATTTTTTTAAATATAATACTAAAAATAATAATTTTTTAAAATATTTTTTTATTTATATCGATTATATTAATTAACTTTTTAATTTAGTTAATTTATATTAATTAATTAAATTAATAAATTTTTTTAAATATAGTATTAAAAATAATAAATTTTTTTAAATATAATAAATTTAAATTTAATAAATATAATATAATATAATTTTTTAAACATAACTACAAAAAAATCAAAACAAAACAGCTTGAGCAAAAAAAGAATTGTAATTATTAGAAAAGTTTACTTATATTACATACAATCCTGAATAAAATGCTATATAAGTGGATTTTTTACATTTTATAAACAATATATATATAAAGAAATAACATAAATGTTTATATATACATTGTTTATATAGAGGTGGTTAAGCACAACAAAGTTTAAAAAAAATTAGGTTATATTAAAATTATAAAATGATTTATATAACGTTTCTTTGCAAAAACCAACGCACTATAATAAAATTTTTAAGTGCTATAAAAAAATTTTATTTTACAATTACTATATTCACTAAAATAAAAATTTTCACTATGATAATATTTTTAAGCAATTAATTTTAATTTTTTTGGTTTAGTTGCTTTTGTTAAGAGCTTTTAAATTTTGCGTAAAATTATCTCATTTTAACATATTTGTTGTATCATCTACTTTGTTGTATCATCTTTGTTGTATCATACTGCAGTCTTTTTTCAAAACGCCTTAGGGTTAAAAATATCATTTTTGACTTTTTTACAAAATAAGCTAGTGTATATGTCTACAAACGTTTTTGAATACTTATTTTCAAAGAGTTCTGAAAAAATTCATTAAAATTATTTGTTTCAAAAAACGTTTAACAAAGAGTTAATTTTTAATAATTTTTTATTTAATTGCATTTTTCTCGAAATATGTAATAAGCATATTAAGGCGTTTTGAAATTTTTACTTATAGTTTATTTATAGTAATAAAAAAAAAAAATGTAGCAAAAAAAGCTTTCTATTTTTTTTTTTTTTTTACCTTCACAGAAGCACCTTCTTGAGTAGTAGGACTTTCATTTTTATTTAATATAGTTTTTTCTTTATTAAGTTTCTTTATTAACTTTTTTTTCAGACCATCCGCAACTTATTAGGACTAATTACCTGTGCACATTAATAATATAAGTGTCTCAATCATTATACATACGCAACAAATTTTTTCTCCGAGTGATGTTTTTTTTTGTTGATGTTTTATCAAATTTTAGCTTTCCAAAAATCTTTTCTCTTGTGAAAGTGTATAATATCGTTACGTTACATATGTTTGTATATAATCTTTATAAAACTTCAAAGTTATTTTGTATTTAAAAATAATCAAAAAGAAATAAAAAAAAAAAACGCCGCTTATGGTAGGAATCGAACCTCGAGTTACTTGTTCTGAAACTCTGCGCCTTATCCACTCGGCCACACTGGCACATACTTAAGCGAAGATTTTTAAAACAATGTAATGATTTTTTTTGAGGAAAAAATGTTATAGAACAAAATCAAGGAGAGCTTGACACAATGCAATTTTCAAGTGAAAATCAAACAGTAAAACTTGATAAATGTTTCAGTATGTTTTAACATATGTTTTAACATTACTTAATTTAAAGTTTACGTACGTTAGATATTTGGATACGCGTTCGTTCACGTTTTCTTATAAAACAAAATGCTATGGCTCTTTCTCACCATTACCTTGCTTGAATTGGCTGACAAGGGTACCGTTTCAAACAGGCTCAAAAGCGCACTACTATTAAGTTTGGCAATAATATTTAATAGATGTAGTTATAATAAATTTTTTCAAAAATTTATTTAAACTACAATAATTGTTTTTAATACAAATAAATTTGTTCTATAATTATATCTGATCTCTTTATTATTTCTACTTTTTTCTCTGAGAGCAAAATAACGATGTTGCAGAAGAAGCTACTCAGCAAACAGAGAAAAAGAAAATACGTAAAGTAAGTTTTCATTTAAATAAACCTTAAATTTTTTTCAAAATGTTATAAAAAACAATGCTTTTTCTCATTTAGAAAGGTTCTGGTAAAACAATAGAGAAAAATATTAAAAGTATAAACTGTGATAGATTTGAATTGGAGTTCGAGGTAAAACGATTTCTTCAGTTATGCTGCTTTTTTTGTTTCATTAAATTAACATAATGATGTTGATTATTTTTTAGAAAGATCCATTCTTTCAGAAGACTGTAGCAGCATTTGATGAAGGGGGAACTGGGGGTCTTTTATGTCTTCAACTTAGTTCAAAGTCAGATAACTGTGATTTAATGATGGATTCTTCTATTCGAGTTAATGATATTCCATTAGTTACTCAAGCAGAGACTACTGCTGATGATCAGATGATAGATTTGACTTTTTTAAGAGGTACAAACTTTTTATTATTTTTCTTAATAGATGAATTATATATTATGCTGTATAATTTATATATTTATAGTATATAATTCATTTTATATATTTATAGTATAAAATTCATTTTATATATTTATAGCATATAATTCATTTTATATACTGTTAATTATGTTTCTTTGGTGCAATAAATTTATTCCTTTATTATTGTTATAGAATAAAAGTAGATAAGCCCATTTTGAGACAAAATTTATGTTGCAGATACCTAATTTTGGTGATGATAATGAGGATGATGATAGTAGTTTCCTTGATGTTGTTCCACATCATGATGCTTAATCAATTAACTTGGGTCTTTTAAAACATAATTTAGATTTTTTTTTTACTTTCTGTCAAGAACTCACTTCCTTTACTCAAGGTTCTTTTTTTAACTTTTTTAAAAAAGTTAGTTTTAAGGCATGAGCATGGTAATGAGCATGATAATGGCTCTGAGATTGTTTTAGGGTCAAGAGTTAAGGATAGGGATGCAGAGTTCAAAAAGGGCTCTAATTTTGAAACTATGCTGTTTTGTGGACTCTAAAAATGTTGGGTGACTTACAATTTGCAATAAGAAAAAAATTCATGAGGTTTAATGACTTAAAACTTATTGCTTTTAAGTCTGGAACCCTCAAGTCCCTGCTGCCATTATCAATAAGGACTCTGAGTTCAAAAATAAGTTTTTTCTCTAACCTAAAAATCTTAATTATTTTCTAGAAAGTATTCCATAAACCTCTTTACATTTTTGGAGCTCCTGGACTCTAAAAAACCTGGAAGAAATAATCTTTTTGTGACTTTCAAATCCAAGGATTTTTTGGGACTCCGCATTTCTGGTTGAGGATGATAAGTTTGTGAGGTTAAAGTTTGACATCATGAAATTAAGGCCTAAAATTATGATATGAGACTTGGATTAAGTTTCGGTTGATTATTCTACGGGCTTACTGGATTCTATCATGACAAGGCATCCATATTTTTGTTCACCTTTTACATTACTTTAAAGGGCTTCCAAACCTCCGAGACATTGTGTTCAAATTTAAGAGAATGTTTAAAAAAAAATGTTTGAGCTAAATTTTTTTTATTAAAACAAAAGAATAAATGCATACCAAGAAAAACTAACTTTTTTTTTAGTCAAAGCCTTCGTTTTGTTGTAGGCAAAAGAAGTTAGTTTTTCTTGGTAGAATTTGTTTTTTTATGTTTTATTTAAAGCAGCTTAGTCCAAACGTTGAACACATGTCTCAGAGGTTTAGGATCCATTTAACATTACTGTACTTTTCTAATTCTTGTTAAAGTTATGAGTATTGAATGCTTTTGCTTCTTGAGATTCTGCAGATCTTTTAGAATTCGATCTTAATAAAATTATGACTTTATATGTTTTAGATCATTATAGAATTAGACAATGGATGTGTAATCATCGATATACATATATGTGTGTGTATGTGTGTTTGTGTTTATATATATATATATATATATACACACACACACACGCACACATGCACAATTTTTTACTTTAAGTAACAGTCAATTTTTTTTTAATAATAACTTATTTATTGGTTTTTTAAAATTAGAAATGTACACTAACATTCCAATCGACAAGTTAGAAATTTGTCCACAGTTTAGTTCATTTAAATTCAATGGCTGGAATCGAAATTCATTGGTGCGTTGTATATGTTTTTTTTTTTTTTTCATAAAAAGGACATTACCCCTTCTAATATTTCTTTGTTAGATATATCCCATCTAAATTGCCACTTTTATAAATTTAGGAAACTTTTTTATATAAATGTTTTTAAATCAGTTATACCTAAAAAATCAAATTATTTAAATACTTAGTTTAGTGTTAAACTCAAGATGATGTTTGTTTAATATTTGTTAATTTATTTTTATATAAGTTTTGAACACCAAACTCAAATTTGTGGCCCAAATGACTGAATAGCTCAGTTAGAGCGTCAAACAAACTGTTAAATCCTGGACTGTAGTGCAATACTACTTCAAGTAAAGTCAATTTCAACTCAGACCTAAAGTAGTAATTTGTTACGCAAAAAAGTTAATCAAAAACAAACACTCTTTTGGATTAGTCTTTTTGACTATTTGAATTTTGGCTATCTTTGAATATAAGAGCATTGTATAACAAAGTGTAATATGGAATTCTCTCTTTACAAATATGACACTTAGTATGCGTAGCCCATTATTTGTCTTGGTCACCACGTTTAATATTGAAGTACAAATTGTATGTACAGTATGGGCCAAAAAAAAACGGCTAAGATTTTTTTGCAGAAAAATTTACATTTTATGGGTTTTAAAAGCATTTCTTATATATTTAAACCAATATTTCAACTTTTTGCATATTTCTTGTTTATTTAAATGTCTTATAATTCATTTCTTATATTAAAAAAGAGTTTCATATTGAGTCTAAGTTAACTTTTTTTTTTTCCTCAACAATTTTTTTTTGGGGCTCTTACTTGTCATAGTTGTGGTTAAATAACTCTTAAGTTATTTGTTTATTTTGTAATAAAATAAAAATTGTAGATATACAGGGTTAACCTTACCCTAACCCTGTATATTTAAAAAAAATCTAAGATGTATTTATTAATGATAATTTAGATATTATTATATTAGATATGCTAATTTATTACATTTGAGACTAGATAAATATATAATATATAAAAATGATTTTAAATGACATTAGTAAAGGAAGAATTATTGAGATGCCATCCTTTGATATGACTCATAGAGATATTGCAAGCAAGGTTGGATGCAGAAAAAGTTGTAATTACTAATTTTCTAAAGAAGTATAAGGAGACAGGAGAAACAGTCCGTCAATCTGGATCAGGAAGAAAGAGAAAAACTACTAAAAGAGAAGATAGACACATTGTCCAAGCTGCCCTTAAAAATCACCATATTTCTACAGATGGGATAAAAGCAGAAACTGGTATTCCCAATATTTCTGGAAAAACCATAATTTGTCGTTTACACGAGTGTAAAAATTTAGATTCTCATTGGGCTATCAAAAAACTTCTTTTATCAAAGATCAACATTGCACGTAGACTTCAATGGTGCAGTGAGCATAAAGACTGGACTATTACCAGGAGACAATTTGTTGGAGACATATAATGGAGACAAGTTGTTTGGTAAGATCTCCTTTTAGCTTTAGATGCAATCGAAGATTTCGTGTTTAAAGGCGTAGTAATGAAAAGTATCACCATGAATGTATAAAAGCCACAGTTAAGCATCAAAAAAAAGATTAACGGATGGGGATGCTTTGCCGCGCATGCTACAGGAAGGATTCACAAGATAAAAGGCAATGTGGATCAATACCAGTACCACAGTATCCTTGTTTATAATGCAAAGCCAAGTTGCTTGAAATTATTTCCAGATGGTAACTATGGTAACTATCTATTTCAACAAGATAATGATTCTAAGCATACTGCAAAATATAACAAAGCATATATTGAAAAAAATATGCTAACTCTGAATGGTGGCCTAGCCAATCTCTTGATCTAAATCTAATTGAAAACCTATGGTCCATACTCTAAGATGAAATTAAAAGAAGAATGTGTAATGATGAAGTTTGTCTTTTCAATTGCGTAAAAGAGGCATGGAATAGCTTAGAACCATTGTTATTAACAAAGCTTGTTGACAGTATGTCTAAAAGAATCAAAGCAGTCTTAGCTGCAAAAGGTGCTATGACCAAGTACTAGATTTTGAGATTTTGTTTTAAATAAAATGACTCTTGCAAGATAATAATAGAATACAATAATTCTGCCAACAATTATTTTGGACTATGTATATTTGGTAATACTTTTGTATTTATTAAATCATCATTACATTATAAAATGTATCTTTTAATGCTTTTAATGCTTAATGTTGATTTTCTTCAAAAAAAAATTTTGGTGGTTTTTTTTATCTTTTTAAATATATATGTACATTTTATATATACGTGTTAAAAGATATTTATATATTGATACTTTAAATAAAATCACTCATTAAATTTGTTTTCTGTATATTTTACATAGAAATTTTGTAAAAAAACCTCATTAAATTTCTTGGCCCGTTTTTTTTTGACCCATACTGTATATATATTTAAAATTAGTAATTTTTCATTGTTTTTGGAATAAGTGTATAACAATCACAGATATAACAAAATAAGTTAGGATTATGTTTACACTGATGTCAATTTGAAGAAGTTATCATTTTATATATTTGATATAAAAAAAAATATTTTTATCTTCTTTTTTTTTTTTTATAATTATTGAATAAAAATACCTAATAAAAATTTTGTTCGTAATATGTTGGTTATTGCAAACATACCCACAGCAGTCTTCTCTGTTTAGCCAGCGCTTTTGCGCTAAAGTCTTTTCATGCTGGCTAACAAAAGCTTTAGTGAGCGCATAAAAAAGCACTTGCCAAAAAAATGTGTTTGGTTTTTAAATCACAACAAAAGTTTTTTTTTTTAAAATTATATTCTCTTGCATTTATTTAAAGCTTTTCGATATTTTTACTTTTATTTAAATAGCAGAAAAAAATAAATTTTTAAAATCCTGCCGGCTAACTTTAAAATGACTATCCTGTCAGCACTTTTTTTGTACATTGTCATTAAATTTCAAACAGAGAAGACTGCCTCAGAAACTGGGTTTATATTTAAAATCAATGTTAAAAAAACAACATCAATTTAATGTTTTAAATATCTAATGGAATTAAAAAAAAAAAAATTCTATTAATCCATGCAATTGTACGAATCATTAGTTTTTGAAAATTTGAGCATTGAAACCACATATACCATGGAGAAAAGTGAGGCTTGACTCAAAACTGAAGAGAAAAAATAAAAGTTTTTGTGTCTGAATCAAGCAGATAATAAAGAATGCACAATTTTCTTGAAGTTAACTCTTAAGTGTCAGATTCTGAGTAAGAGATTGAGAGTCACAAAAGAAGCAGAAAATCAGTAGTACTAGATAGTATCAATAATGATAACATCGGCTGAGGGATAATTAGATTATAGAGAATAATTAGATAAAGCTTGATCAGAAACAAAATCAGAGTGACAATCTTAAAAAGAACCAAAAATAAGCTTTGAGAAAAGACAGTTCAAGTTCTTTAAAATTTGCCTAGGAGGCTTCCTGCAAGAAAGTCCAGAAATTTTTAGAAATTACTTTGTTACTCTATTCATACTGAAAGTAATAACTTGATTTTGACAGGTTTAAAGCAATTATCAGCAGGGGAAATTTCTAATGTAGTTTGAAGGCTGGTGTAATGTCCTTTCATTTTTTATGTTGTTTATTAATTTCTATTATTTTTGGATTAATTTTTTTAAACAATAAATATAATGTAACATATTTTATTAAGTTTTTAATTATACATTTATAATATCAAGTTGATAAATTAAACTGATAAATTAAAACACGTTGTCTTTATCTTATTTAATATAGATGAATTAAACATAATACATATTTATATGCATTACTTGTCAAACAGTTCACTTTTTAATAACTAGTTTATAATCTGCTTAATGTTCTAGTTTTAATCTGTTTAATGTAATACTAAATATATAAGAGAGATAAATAAGATAAATTATAAATTAAATTATAGAGATAAATTATAAAATAGTATAAGTAGAATTTTATCTTTATTTATGATTTATTGTTTCAAAACAGAAATTGTTCGTTGTTTTTGTTTTTGCACAGATATAAATGTTTTTAAATTAGAATTGTTCAGCTGTTGATGACAGTTTTGATGATAACGTACACAAGTTCGATGTTAATGCACCAGGTGAAAATTATTTCATTGTATTTTGATTTTTCAGTTACTAATTTTAATATGACTTATGTTGTTTACAATCTGAAAAAAATTTTAGACTTGCATTATTTTAGTAATCTCTAATCTCATGGACACCTCAGAAATTGGAGGCGATTATACAATGGATAATAATGATAATGATGATGGTGACGATTTAAATGAAATGGTATTTTAATTTTTTAGCAAAATGTAAATAGTCAGCTAAAAGTTGTTTATATTGACATATGTAAAACAGTTTTATGCATAATTTTTTTTTTTTTTTAACATTTACGCTTCTGATAAGGTTGCAAGCACTAGTAAAGTTGGAAATTACTGGAAGAGAAAAGATAAAGTTTATAGAGCAAAATAATGATTGACAGACGATTTAAAAGATTGCAAATTATATGAATCAGATTTTTATTTATTAGTAAAACTATCTTTTTTAAACAGTTTAAAATTATATGTTTTAAAATGACAGCAATAAGCACTTACAAGAATGAGTTTTTTTTTTAGAAAAGTGGATAAAAGAGTTTATCTACTTTTCCAAAAAAAACACAGTATGGCATTTATCCCTTTTTAATATGTATACACAGTATGAGTTATTTTTAATATGTATACATAGTATGAATTCTTTTTAATATGTTTACACAATATGAGTTCTTTTTAATATGTATACACAGTATAAGTTCTTTTTGATATGTATACACAGTATGAGTTATTTTTTAAAGGAGGTGATAAGATAATACTATAGTGCCTATACAGCAAACGACTTTAAACTATTCAGCAGATATATCTCTAATGGATTACTTGTAATCTAATGGATTACTTGTAACATTCTGCACAAGGTGCTCTTATCTCAACCTTCCAATGTTGAAAAATGCCAAAGTAGCCATGATTAATTATATGATATACAAATTACTATTGATAGTTTTAGTTTAGCTCTGTTAAAAAATTTAAGTTTACTAGAATATATATATATATATATATATATATATATATATATATATATATATATATATATATATATATATATATATATATATATATATATATATATATATATATATATATAAATTCTTGCACTCTTTGTTCCAAAATACAAATATTTTTACTATAAAATAAAAGCATGGAACTTTCACAATATGCTTAGTTAAAATCAATATTATTGTTTATCAAGTGTTTAGTGTTTATATAGTGGTTATAGTGGTTATAGTTATATAGTGGTTATAGTGTTTAGTCTTAAATATATAATATTATAGTCTTATATTCATTCAGGATTACTCTTTTTAGAGAGCATGTATTAGAGTTTTGTTTGTAATTTTATTAGTTAGGGTGGTAAAGTATGTGGATATGAGAAATATATCTGGCATATTATTTGGCATTTCTTAAGAAATGTCAAATAATATGACAGAAAAAGTTTTAATATTTTATTTGATGCAAGATATTTGTGTCAAAAATTATTGTTTTTATATTCACATATTATTTACATTTTATGTGTATATTTCTTGTTACTATTATTAATCGTATTAATAATTTGTTATCGATAATTATTTTATGACTTTAGGGTGCACTAAGGGGTACAACAAGTGATATAGAAAGGTATAAACAATTTTCAATAATTTCATTTATTTATTTTACAAAAAATTATTTTTGGTGTTTCATATTTTTTTAATTTCTGCAAAAAAAAATTTCTTGTACTTCTAAAATTAGAAGGGTTTTATCAGATTTAAGGCATTTAGTTTTTTAAAAAAAGTTTTATCTCTTTATCTGTATTACAATATTCTCAATAATCTTTTTATTTGTTTTATAAAGGGAATTTTTTTTTTTTTTTTTTTTTTTTTGGGGGGGGGGGGGAATTTGCATTACAGAATATTCTTGCCTATATAAAGCATTTTGTTGAAGAAATGTGTTTGTGTAATGATTGAACTCAAAAAAATACAAAAAAACAATTGATCAATTGGAATTTGTATCAAGTTTTTTAAAACAATATAGATCAGCTGCTGGCATTTAAACTCTTATTAGAACAATTCTTATAACTAGTGAAGAAAAAAAATACAGGATGATAAGTACTGTTTAAATCTATAAAATTTTTGTTAAATCAAATTAAATAGATTAGGATTAAATGCTGTGATTAGATACTTACTTGCGCGAATAACCACAATATTAAAGGGGTAGAATGATAATAAATATAATAAAGGAATATTATAAAATCTTAAATATCTTTTTTTATTTTTTATTTTTGTTAAAAAAGTTCTGCCAGAAATCAAGCTTGAGGGTAAATGGCTTGTTGATCATGTTGAGAAATAAATTTATTCCTACAAGAGAATGGTTTTTATATACATATTATGATATTTCTTGTTTTTTGTTTTTAAAAATTTTGTTTTTGATGTACATGCTGGTGAAATATGAGAAGTCTTTTCATGATGTATATGATAAAGACCAATTAAGTAAATTTTAAAAAATATTCCTTTTCTAAGATGACAAGTGCAAAAATCCTAGTATAAGGTGACATTGCTGTTTTTCTTTTCTTTCTTTTTTTTTGCGTTCCAACAACTTTACTCATTTTATAATTACTCATGTTACTTTTGTGAGCCTATACTATTGAAATTAAAATTAACCCATCTCTCCACAGAGATGTTTAAAAAAAATGGTGCCTCCTGGTTAAAAAAATCTAACTCCTAGTTTATTGTTTTTAATTATAAAAACAATAATAAGAGAAATATTATCATCCTGTTTAGGATAATGAGTACTGGATCTTCTTGACTCTACTCATAGGCTTTTGCTTTTGCCTCTTTGATGGTGGCTATATAACCCCTGTTATCTCCTAATGTGGGTGCAGCTCTAAAACTTAGTTAAATGTTTCTAAAGCCGACAGGTAGTAAGGTTTCCTGAACTCTGTGGAAACTTTCAGAGAAGCTAAGTCCATCAATAGCTGAAAATATCCGAGTATTAACAGTGCCATGATGCGCATGGATAGTGTCTCTGTTAATGCTTTTGGTGTGCATTGTCAAGGCAACATAAGGAGCCCTAAGTTACAATTTTAGGTTAGTTAGCAGGACTGAGGCAACTGTATAGCTCATTGCTCTAGATGCTGTGCTCTTTTTATGAATGAGTCAAGTTCTCTTTTGACTTGATTCATCCCCCAAGTAACCCAAAATATTAGACAAAAAAACCATTCCCACCACCCAACTGTTTCAATAAAGCTTAAAGTAACCTTCCATCAGTTAAAATATACCTCTTTCAAATTTCACCAGACTTGCTTGCTTACTGTGAGACTAATATAAGTTCAGCTGTTCTTTCTTCAGATCTCAGTATTTATGGGTAATATTCTTGGATTTGCCTTCTGCTTAGCACTTCTTCCCTCTATCACTTTCCTTTTTTTCTATCACTTTTCTTTTTTTTCTCCTTTAGGTGGTTCCGCCCATGCAATGATCTCTATAAATCTTTGCATCATGCAATGTATGCAATATTGCATCATGCAATGCAAATTATGCAATGATCTCTATAAATCTCATACTACTTCTTTGTACTCAGTCTATTATCGCACTACCCTACTACTACCCTAAAGTTGACTGAGATTCTTTTTGTGATTTTCTTTGTAATGGTCCTTGGGCTGATGTTTTTTCTTTCTCTGCTGATAGATGCGCCTGCTAGGTAGCCTCCTGGATCTAGGTAGGAATGAAAGCACTTATTTCTTCTCGCTGGTTTCAAGTCAAGCCTCATTCTACTCCAAGGTTTTCACCTTCTGTGCAGTTGCTATATCTAATCGAAATAATTTTTTTTATCTTTTTCAAAAAAATAACTCTCTTAAGAACTGACGCTAAGCTTTATTATTCACAGATCACTAAACCTTGTATCATGTCTCAGAAGTTAGGCACTAAAGACTTTTAGAAAATCTTCAACAGCATCATTAACAAAGGTCATTTTCTGGGACTGATCTTTTCACCTCTCCCAAGGGCTGAACTCTTTGCAAAGAACTCTACTTTTAATTTGACTCTTCAATCTTATGACCACACTCTTCCTTTGATTCCAGTTAAACAGGTTATTAGACCCATTATTAGAGATTCAATTAAACCTATTATTAGACATTTAAATCACTCCAGCTAAAGTCATATCTTAATTAAACTTTTCTACAGCTTGTCGTCCTGACGACATTTCTGTTTTAATCTTACAAAATTGTTCTCCAAAATTTTCTTTAATTCTCTCTAAACTATTTAATAAGTGCATGACTTAATCTTATTTTCCTGCCTGCTGGAAAATGGCATCTGTGGTTTCAATTTTTTAAAAATTGCAGAACATTTTAATCCCTCCAACTATACTCCTATCAGTCTTGTATATTTTATTAGCAAGGTCTTTGAGTCTTTGATTTTTAAACAAATTTTTAACGTCCCTTCTTGAGTTTAGTAACTTACTGTCATACAAATGATATGGTTTTTAATCCTCTCTTCTTGGGTTGGTTTGCTAACTCCTGTGACTTCTTCTTGGGTTAACTTGCTAATTGCTGTGATTTTATCCTGCTTTAGATAAAGGCTGTGAGACTAGGGCTATTGCTCTTGAAATATCTAATGCTTTTGGTGAAATTTGATATGCTGATTTTCTCCTTAAGCTTGTTTCATATTGTGTTTTTGGAAAAAATTTTGAGATTATCAAATTAATTCTTTCTAACTGTTTTATTAAAGTCATCCTTGAAGGCTAACACTTTTCTTTATTTCTAATAACTGCAAGGGTTCCTCAAGGTTCTCAATCTATTTTTTTTTTTTTTTTTTTTAATATTTTTTAAATTTGAATTGAGACTCTATAAATGTATCAACAGAATTTAGGTCACACTGTGACCTCAAGTTGTGAAGAGTACAAAATCTTTAAATAAAAAACAGCTTATCAAAAGGACAGTTAAAAATGAAAAAAAAAATTTATTTGGATTTTTGTATGATTGGTATAATACTTAACAAACAGTTGATTTTTAATCACTTTAAATGTGGCATATAGTCCACGGTGTATCAAAAAACAACTTTTTTGTTGATTTTGAAATTGTAATAGAACAGAAGAGTTGCAAAATGCTATGAAAGGTATTTGTGTCTAACTGCAAACTTGATCTGAAGCTTTGGTTACAAGTTTGATGCACCTCTCTACTCCTTGAGTATGTCAAGAAAAATGCTGCACATATAAAATTTGTTAACATTTGATTCATTTGGATCTGTAGGAGACTTACATTCAGATAAAAATCTAATTGAAATGTTAACAAATGTTTATCTTCCAGATGTGCAGCATTTTCCATGCCATACTCAAGGAGTAGAAAGATGCATCAAACTTGTAACCAAAACTTTAGATCAAGTTTGCGGTTTGGCTAGTAGAGATGGTTTCATTCATTCAAGACTTGCATTGCGAAAAAGAATGCCTTTATTCAACACAAAAAGACAGTTTGAGACAGATCCAAATGAATCAAATAGATGAACTTCCGCTAAACTTTTAACATTTTTCAAAAAAATTTTTTGCTATATTAAAACTTTAATTGTACATTATGGACAGCAAAGCTTGTTTACCAGAAACTCATGAAACATTGTTTGTTTTTTGTAAAAACTCAGCCCTCTAGCGGCAACTGAAGACATAAAATATTTTCTTAAAAATTATAACCATTTCTAACTTAGTAATTGTGTAATGTTTAAACTCTATTACAACTCTAGATAATGCATAGAATTTGTTATTTTTATTTTGTAAAAAAGGTCAGGAAACATGTTTTTATAAGAAAATTAAACCCTAGTGCGAACTGAAGACAAATAAAAAATTAAAAAAATTTGGCGCAATTACTTTTATAGCATTTTGCAACTTTTCTACTCTATTGCAATTTCAAATTCAAAAAAAGTCATTTTTTGATACACCCTAATATAGTCTTGTAAAAGTCAATTATGTCTTTTTATTTAATTTCATTCATTCAAGTCTGATGCACTTGAAAATGGTTTCATTTTAATTTTATCATTAACCTGTTTTGAGCAATGAACACTAAATATTCTAAGCGTTTTATAAGCAATGTATGTTTAATATAAGTAATGATGTTTCCAAGTTCATTTTTAATGTATAAGTAATAATGTTTCCAAGTTCATTTTTAATTTTTTCAGCTGCAATAATGAAAACGTTTACTTGACTTTTATCTCTGAAGGCTTTATAAAATGCTGTTGCGTCATTAATAATAGCTTCTCTATGAATAATTTTTTGAGTTGCTAATCTTTTTATGGTTGCTCCTATATCATCACATGGTCCTTTTCCCTGAGAAATAGCAAAGTAATTGTAGAAAATATTTACTTTGTGCTTGGTTTTAAGCCATATAGTTGAGGCTACTATGTAACAATTTTTAAATTGGCTACTAGAAGTCAGCAATAAATAGCCACAAATAATGTTTTTGTTCCAGAAAACTCCACTAAAAATTTTAAAAGTTTTTTGCAGTCAGTTGAATCAAAATAGCTTTTTAAATCATTTTTTTGATTTTCATAACTCTATGATTGTTTTTCTTTAATAAAAAAGGAAAAAAAAGTTTAGTTAGCATTTTGCAAACCTAAAATGCAATTATATCTTTGTCTTTTTTAATTTCTCTTTCACAGTAATTAGTTCAATTAAGTTGCCTAAATTTCTGCCAATGGTATTAGGTAATTTTTTTATTGTGGTTTTTTAAATCTAAACATTATAGTTTGAGGTTTAATAAAAAATTACAATGTAAGTTGTATAAAATGAGGTTTCATAACTAGGGATGGCAATCCTGGGATTTCGTACAAATTATTTATCCTGAATTCCTGGGATTAGTCTCCGGAATTTCCCGGAATTTCGGGATCGTCAAAAAAAACAAAAAAGTTAATAAAGTTTAAGCTTATAATTGTAGTTTAGTAATTTTTATATCGTCTTTGGTATAGTAGCTGTTTGGTTGTGTAATTATTTATTCTCTTTGCAATGTTTTTCTTTTAAAACTCTCTTTTTCTGTATTTCACTAAAAAAAATAACTCAAAACATAATTGCTTGTCTGCAAAATGTATATATGTTTATATATATATGTTTGTATATATATGTTTGTATATATATGTTTATATATATATATATATATATATATATATATATATATATATATATATATTTATATTTATATATATATATATATATATATATATAATATATATATATATATATATATATATATATATATATATATATATATATAACTAAAATTCAAAATATAATAAACATATAATAAAATAAAATTAATGTTTAACTTTTATTAAAAACTTTTGCTCTTTCCACCAGCAAGCACTTATATTTTTGTTATTTTTTATAATATACTAGTTTTGATATTATACTATATATAGTTTATATTATAATATTAAAACTATTATATTATAAAAATAAGTAAAATTTAAGCGCTTGCTAGTAAAAAGAGCAATATTTTTTAATAGAAGGTATACGTTAATTTAATTTTAAATTTTCTGCTTCCAAAAGTAAGCGCGATTTTAATTCTATTTTATATTTATTCATTGTAATTTTCAAATGTGTGATTTATGAAAATGGGTGATTTACGAAAGTTTTTTTTAACGTCGTGCATATTTATATTGTTTTTTAATTTTTATTATAATTTATAATACTTAGGTTTATTAATTTTAAAAGTCTTAGATTTTTTTTTTTTTTTTAATTATCTTCACTTCCAACAAGGCTGAAAGCAACCACTAATTAGTGTTGGAAGTTAATGGAAGAGAAAAGATGAAGATTGTAAAGCAAGATGACGGTTGATTCTCTATCTCTATAAATCTCAAATCCATGCAAGGCCGGATTTGAGATTTATAGAGATAGAGAATAGAATCCAGAGTAAGAAAGTGACGAGCTCGATAAAGAGAAGCAACTTGCTATTTTTGCAACGGATTTGATATAAGGTTTCCAAGAAAGATCAGAAGTAAGAGTTAATCCTAGAAGATGAAGGGTAGGAGACTCATCAAGTACATTACCGTTCATAAATATAGGAATGTCTAAATTATTGCGATAACGATTGGCCGAAAAAAATTGAGATAAGTTTTAATACAAAATTAAGTTAAAACATGATTCAACAAAATTTTAGAGGTTTATTAATCGATTAAATATTTTAGTTATATTATCATTAAATTAATCATTTTTAAGTATTTGATGAGTGCTTAAAAAGTATTCAATTGCGTTAGCGTTTTTTCTATTCAATCCCGGGATTTCTCGGGGACAAATTTCTTAATCCCGAAATCCTGGGATTGAAAATTTCCGGGATTTTTGCCATCCCTATTCATAACTTATCTACAAATAAAAAACCTTAAAAATACATAAAATGTAAGACTAACATGTTTTTTCCATAACATTTTTTATAAAAATTAGCCTTTAAACATCTAATTTTAAAAAAATGTTATGCAGTGTCATCACAATGTGACCTAAAGTTAAGACAAAAACTATAAATAATTGTTCATTTCTATTGCCTTATTTTAATTACAAGTAATTTATAAATACTTGTTTAAAATAAATAAATATTTTTGCACTGCATTAAAAAATGTTACTATTAGTGTCATAGTGTGACAAGTCACAGCCTGACAAACTTAGAGAAGATCAAACAGAAATTTCTCAATGAAAAATAACTAAATTAGTATAATGCTTTTGCAATTTGAAGCAAGATATGGACCTATATTTTGTGTGATGCAAATATATATAGAAATTTTGAAAAAAAAAAAAAAATTTAAAATGATTTACTAAAAAAAAGTTTAATTTAAAGGTTTAAAAAATTTTGTTTTGACAGTTTTAAGTACGTTTCCAGGGTGCATTTGTACGAAAACTGCTGTCATGTATACATCCCTAAATCCCTACTGAGCCACTGTCAGCTTGTATATGCCCTATACAAAAATGAGTACTTATCGCACTTACCTGTTTTCAACTTTTTCACATGTATGCTCTATGTATAATTTATGATTAAATTTTGATTTTTCAATATCTTTCAAATAGTCTCTCTACTTATAATATAGCCATTTGACATGTGGTTCAAATGTCGTACCTGTGTTTTAATAGTTTCTATTAATTATAATGATATATATATATATATATATATATATATATATATATATATATATATATATATATATATATATCAGTGGCTTTTATAAACTGTTTTTGACAGTGCCAACCGTATTTGGGCACCCTAACTCTGAAACTGAGGATTTTTTATTTATTTTTAATTTTTTTCCAAAAAATGTCTAAATACAGCTGTTTTTTTTAGTTACAACAAAAAGTTTATATAGAAAAAAAAGTTATAATATATCTTGGCATAAATTATTTAATAATAAATTGCAAAAGATTTTACCTTATATTGAAAAATACTGTTTGAACTCTCAGAGCTTTGAAGTTGCTAAAATTTCTTTGCTAAACCTTTGATTGAATCTGATAATTTGGGATGTAGTTATTTTGAAAATCTTTGCAGATTTATTTGTGAATTTGTAGAAAAAGAAAAAAATGGTACAGAGTTGAATAAAACTAATGCTAGATTTATAAGTAATATGCCTTAATATTCTTTCTTTTTTTAAGGCATATATTTAGTATATTCTAATTTTTATGTCATTGCATAAATAAATATCTCTGTAAAATAATAACATAGTTGTAAGTCTTAACTGTAAGTGTTAGCAGGGTCTATTCTAGGAAAAAATTTTGGGTTGGCAGTGCCCCGCCCCCCCCCCCCCTTCTCTCCCCCCTCCTTCCCCACTTCTTCTTTATCCAGGAGAAGTTTAGCAAAAAATCTGTTGTTTTTTTTTAAAAATATATATATATTTGCCGTAAAAAGCGTTTTTTTAATAAAAAGAGGTCCTCAAATTTTAATTTGGGCGGCCCCTAAATTGACACCCAAATACGGTTGACTCTGTCGGAAACTATCTAGAATAGCCTCTGATTAGATAAACTAATGTTTTGAAAAGTTAACCTTTTAATCTTTACTTCTAAAGAGCAAGATATTTGATCATGTAGTTATAGTAGGCTATAGATAGGGTAAAACGCTTCTTGCCAAGCCTCATATCTGATTATCACATGTAATATAAATATAGTTATTATAAAGTTATTTCAGAAAAATTAGAGTATATTAAACTATTTTTGTTATTCTAAACTTTTGCGTATATTTTACGCCCTTCAATTTAATATCGAATCAATTTAATATCAATTTATTGTATAATCTCTCCTGTTGCTTTAAAATAAGTTAAAACAAAATTCATTACAAAACAGTTTATTGTACTTTTTTTATATCAATGTGATTAAACTATCATTTATTTATATCAATTGTGACTCTTTTTTTTTAGGTAAATATTTAATATTTTAAAATAAACAATTTCTACTATAACTTTTATTCTATTGTTTAATATTTTTTACAACTTTAACATTTTACTTAGTCGCTCAACATTGATTAATATAACTGGTTCTGACAAATTAACTCTATCAATGCAACCTAGTGAGTATTCATATTTTAATCAAGACCTTTTATCACTCTGGGCTGGTCCTTTGCACTGGAAAGTTAAACCTAAATCTAAAGGTATTTTTTATTCATTTTTTAAAGGAAATTTTTTTAAATATTTTTATAGATTCTTTCTGACTTGTAGAGTCATAGGAGAGAATGTAGAGTCATAGGAGAGAAAAGCTAAATGATTATAAAAACTAGCAATTATTAACAAATAATTCAGACATATTGTCAACAAATAAATAATTTACATTTTTTTTAAATTATGACTGATTTACAATAGCACAATGCAAATTGATTTGTTCACTTTAGTTTTTTAAATATAATGAAAGAAATGCAATAAAAAGAAATAATAATAAAAGCGTTCATCTTTTATTTTAGATCGTAGCACTACAACTGTTTCTGATACTTCAAAGCGTTCAGTTAAAAAGAAAATTCCTTTAAGAATAAATTTTGAAGAGCAAGTTGACTTCAAAAAGTATTTTAGTTCAGGAAGAGTAAGTTTAATTATATACAGGATATGTGGAAGGCTTACAAGTTAATATATATATATAATTAACACTTATTAGATTTTTTGGTTTCTTGTTAACTTAGTAATTAAAGTTTAGAATGACTTTATCTATGATATCAATAAATTATTTTAAGGCAGCAACTTACTTAAAAGATTCAACCTTAGAAAAGTATAGTTCTCAATTTACTGTTCTTCCTGAGGACTTGCATTATACTGCTGATAATTTGTTTAAACTTTGGTTAATGCCGTTGTTATCAGTGAGTAAACAGAAATGTTTTTTTTCGTTTTTTACTGTGTTCATTTATCTAAAATGGTATACAATTTGTTAGTTTTTTCCCTCAATTTTTTAATTATAAAACTCAATAATAATATATATTTTTTTATAATTAGCTTCGAAAAATAGTTGATACAAAGATTCTACAAAATGATGGTAGGTTTTAAAACTAGTAAATGTTGTTTTGTACCTTTTTTATGTTTTTATTTTATTGCTTTTCTAAAAGTAATTTTACTGTAATTTAAACATATAAAATGAATTTATGTCTGTTTATAGTACTTTATGAACTATGATCAGAATTTTCAGCACTCATTAAATTAGCCTTTTATTTAAAATAGAAAGTGTTTGGCACTAATTATTACCATTTACGTAAACTTGGTGTTAAGATGTTTTCTGTTATTTGGTTCAACACTAGTTACCAGTTTCTTGTTTGTCAGTCAAGTTTTTTTAAACAAAAAAAAAACAACTGTTTGGTAATTTTTAATATTCTCAAAAAAAAAATTATGTACAATATTTTTTTGACAATCTTATCAATATGTCATTGTTAATTTTTTTTTTTAAATAAATTTATTTTCACTAATGCTGCAAACAACCACTAATTAAGATTCACAAGGAAAAAAAAAAGAAAGTTCAAGAGAAAGAAAACAGTTCACAAAAGACTTTAAAAACTGTAAATTATGGAAAAATTTCTATATTTTGCAATTGGAAAAGAATTCCAAAGTATTGATGTTTAAAGAAAAAAATGAGATGAGTAAAAGTTTCAGAAAGAGCAATTTCAGTAAAAGAACGCAACTTTGCTGATTGACATATGAGATGGTGTCTTCAGTAACATGAGATAGTGTTTTTAAAGTAAATTGAGTAATTTTATTGTTTCATCAGTAAATTGAAGTACGTTGGGCTTGTTAGATTATCAGCAAGATCATTAATATAAATGAGAAATATCATGTGACCAAGTATGGAACCATGTGATTACTGGAAGTACAACAGTGTTTTCCATGAAAGATTACCCCTAGTACTACGATTAGAAACAAATGATTAAATAATTTTTAAAGCTCTCCCAGTAATGCCATAATAGAGGTTATGGAGAAGACCACATGATAAAGTTTATTAAAAACATTTGATATGTCAAGATCAATAGCTTTTTCCTCATAATTTTCACCTAAGGCTCAATAAAAATTTTGTCTTATTACGCTAAACAAATTAGCCTTAGAACAAGATGATTAAAATTTGTACTGATTGTAAAAGAGTCAGTTAAGACAAAACATAAACTCAAGGACGATCTCAAAGAAAATTATGAAAGGAATCTCAGTCAGCGATTATGTAATTGTAAGAAGTTTCGTGATATAGTGAACCATCCTTGTGACATTCTAGAATAATTTTTGTATTCTTTGTATTCATTTATTAACCCTCTTTGGTATCAAGTTCTCCTCATTAGTCATTTATTGTTTATATTTTGTACAGAAACCTGCAAAATACCAGATTTTCTGGCAATTTTTATTGAGAAAGATTAGTTTTTATTAAAAGTGTCCTGATTTGTCAAATTTTTGTGGTAATAAGTCTTTTTTTTTCCAAATAACTAAAATAGAATATCACAGTCAAGAATTTGTTAGGTACTTATAATTTTAAAAATATCACAATTATTTTTACTTTAGAATAAAGTGAAATATTTAAGAAACGATATTTTTAATGATTCAAATAAATATTTTTAAGATAACTTAATAAACAAATTCTAAAGTCTGGTAAAACTTAAAAAGTGTGCAGCAAAAAGATTATATTTGAAATGACATCATACAAAAAGGCTGTCAAAAGTGCCAGTAATTAGACTTAGCTCTAATTACAGTAATTGACTGTAATCAGAGTTAGGGTAAAATACCCAGTTTCCCCATACGCTCTTATGCTACTTGGTATCTAAAATTCACCTCTTTATGCTACTTGGTCTCTAAAAAGATGTCTTTATTTTTAAAGTTGATGCAATTGTCAAACTTTTGTTGGTTATGATGCAAACATCAGAATTCTTTTCAGACATGATTTCAGAACTTTCTAGCAATTAGTTTATGGTCTGCATGTTTTTTAGTTACCTATTGGCAATTTGTAATTGCATGGCAAGTAATGAATTTTTTTCTCTGGTGGTTTATCAAAGTCATGGAATTTCATTTTCAAATTTGAATGGAAATAACTGTTTGTCTTTTCTAATGGCTCACTCTATCTAAAATAGGACTACAAAGTGTTGAGATATTGCTAATTGCATTGACTTATCATTTTCAATGAGAGTTAAAGGCGATTTTTCCAAATGTTTTCTTTGTTTCTGATACATCTATGAGTATCACAGAAAGGACTGTCGTTGAGAGACTTCCTTTGTTTCTGATACATCTATGACTATCACAGAAAGGACTGTCGTTGAAAGAAACAGGTATCACAGAACTGTCGTTGACTTTTCTGTGAGGAAGAGCAGTGCTATAAAACCTAAAAAGCCACTATTCTTTGTTAAGTGAAACCTCATCAAGCAATTTTTCACTGGTTTTAACAAGTAGTTGACAGTTTTCAAATACCTTCAAGTGCATTTTCTTAAGGCATAGAAAATCTATCCCAGGCATAGATCCAATGTATTATCTTTGAAGGCTTCAGATTAAGAAGATCATTAAAATAGCTTGGAACAGTTATGTTGTAGTTTGTATTTTTCTCGGTAACCACAAAATTAAAAATTATGTGCAACTTTATGATGAGTTTTGCTAAAATAAAATGATTCAACATGTCTCATAATGCTGTTTCTCCAATATACCAACATGCCTCATGCTGCTTCTCCAAACTAACTTTTTTCTTGAAACTGCTATCTCACTACATGATGATACCCAATTATCTGCATCTTTATACTACATGGCTAAACCACTGACACACCCTCACAGAAACACTTACTTTTACCTAACTCTGTCTAAGGTGATTGTTTCTTTTTCTTTTTTTTTTTCAAGTATATATATGATTACTCTTTATTGGCTATTCTTTCACATAGTACAATGCCATGCGTGTATATATGTGTGTGTGTGTATATATATATATATATATATATATATATATATATATATATATATATATATATATATATATATATATATATATATATATATATATATATATATATATATATATATATTTATATATATATATATATATCAATAGAACAAATACTAAACAGACTTTCAGGCTTTAATGATAATTTTTTTATAAAATTAAAATTTCTTGTATGAAGATAAGATTTTAAAAAATAATAAAGACGTTAAGGTTTTTAGAAATAAATCAAAAAATAATACTTAAATTTAACTTTTGTTATAAGAGCCTGAATATGTATGGCCATATTCCAATTGTTCCTCTTGAATAAAATATAGGTTTTAAAGCTGACTGGACTGACCCAAGTTCATATTTGAATTATAATATCAATAATATTATAAACAGTGTTAATTAAAATTTTTTAATTTTAAGTAGAAAACTGCTTATTTTTAAAAAATATTAAATTTAGAGTTAGTGTTAGAAAATTCAATGTTTAAGCTTTCATCATATAATTATTAACAGTTTTTTATAGTTATTTTGCTACATCCAAAAAAAACTCTATAATCAACATTCATTTTTACAACAAACTAAACTCTCCTTAATTTAAATATAATAAATTTGAATAATATTTGAATAATAATTTAGATCATTTTTCCTTGTTTAATATTATTATAAAACTTATAATTTGTATTAGCTTGTTCTTTTTGATTTTGTTTAGATCAAGAACCATACGATTATAATAACAAAAATGATAGAGAAGGATTTTGCCCTGCTCTTGATGTGAGTAACATAACTTTAAAGTTAACTTCTAATGTTGTAATATTGTAATAATAAAAAACAATAAAATTACAAGAAGCATACAAACTGAGATTCAAAACAAGTGAGAACTTCACCACAAAATTTACATTGACGAAAGAAAAACTTCTCTGTGAGGTTTTACTCTTAAATAAGATTTTTTTTTTTTAAAAAAAAACTTTAAAAAGTGACAATTTTTTTGACTAAACTGAATAATGAGTTGCATACACTTACATTTTTAATAAGTAAAATGACTGCTTGCTTAAGCAACATTTAAGGTGGTGTTAGTGAAAAAGTTATCTTATAAGTTTGCAATATATATTCAAACTTTTTTGCAGTTTGCTTCTGTGCCTTGTCTTAAAAAAAAAATCAAAAAATACATTATTAAAAGACCTAGATAGAGATATCCAAAGCTAAAATTGTATGACAATAATAAGAAGTATTAAGAAAAGTAATCAGATGCTATTCAATTCAATTTTATTGCTGTGAACTCCATGTCACAGTCATGTCAAATCCACTCACAAGAAAGATCATTTTCAGCTTGTCATTATTACCAATTTTGCTATGCAACAGAGATTTAAAGCTTTATTCAGCATATTTTTTAATTACTGAAATCAGTAAAAAAAAGCTTTGGGGTTGATCTACTTCACATAGAACTGCTATAAAAATAGTTGAATTGAGTAGGTGGTAGAAATTAAAATATTGTTAATTATAAATTTAAAAATAAAAAATTACCTTTATCTTATTATTTTTTTTAATTCTTTTTTTTTTTTTCTTTATCTGATTAGAATGAGATAAAAAAACTTGTTACATTAAATACTGATTTTTGATTATTTTTTATTCAAAACTTTTTAATAAATATTGCATAAACTTTTTAATAAATATTGCAAAATTACTAACAATTTCAGCCCTCAGAATTAGGGTTGGCATTCAGCAATGCTGACCTAACTGCTGACCTAGGAGTGTTGAAGATCGGCAAAAAATCGCAGACCTTGTTTTTATGTTTTAGGACAAAACTATTGTATCAATTTTTTTTTGTCAACCTCTAACAGATTAAGGTCACCAAATTATTGCCGACCTTATTTTTCCGAATTCCAAGGGCTGTATGTATGTGTGTTTATATATATATATATATATATATATATATATATATATATATATATATATATATATATATATATATATATATATATATATATAGTATATATATATATATATATATATATATATATATATATATGTATATATATATATATATATATATATATATATATATATATATATATATATATATATATATATATATATATATATATATATATACAGTACCTACTCAAATTATTAGACTCAAACTCAATTTTTAACTTTTTGTCTTTTTGGTGTGTCTAAAACTCACTAAAAGCAATCACAACTTATTTTTTCATATATAATCTATATATTGATATATAAAAAGCATATTATGCAACTTAATACTTGGTGATGATTCCTTTTGACTCCTTTTGAAAGAGCTTTGATACGCCTTGGCATACTATTTAATCACTTCGAGGTCAATGCTTTAACATCTGGATCTCGATGCCATACTTCGATTAGCCGTTTTGTGAGTTTCTGTTTACTTGTTAAATGCAAAGTCACCACTTTGCATGTTACAAGCACCCACAGATTTACAATATGGTTGATATCTGGAGAACTGCCAGACCAATCTAGTAGCTCAATACTCTCATTAGCAAGAAAGGTCTTTATGGATTTTGCAGTACAGTAAAGAGAAATATTTTGCATGAAAACTACTTTTTTTACCATTAGGAAACCACTCTTGTATCTGTTGAATCAAACTAGTTTATCAGACAGTCTTGTACTATCTTGTTTCATCATCCCATGTACAATGTAAAGACTTTGACTTATACCCCTGCTTGATATGCATGACTAAACCATTATAAATCCTAGGTGCTTTACAGTGTTTACAGTGCATTTTGGCTTTGTTGTTCTTTTGGTCTGCAACAGACTAAAAGAACAACAACAACGAATGTGGCTTTTCTTCCGAAGCCTCAAAGGTAGATTCATTGCTGTATACAACCTGACTAAAGCAATAAATATTGATGTTTTAAATATTTCAAATATTAATAAAATGAATTGAGATAAGATATTAATGCAAAATCATCTTCTAAAAACTTGTAATATTAAAATATTAATTGCTTATGTTTCAGAAGAAAACTAATGGAAAATTTACCTTATTCAAGTCATCTTGAGAAAAAGAGGAGTACTTCTTAGCCCATGCAAAACGTTTTTTAATCATTTGCAGGCGTAAGTTATGGCTTTTTCAGTGGCTTTCTAAATTTATATCCAAACTCATAACTTCTCTTTCTTAAAGATTCAAGTGAATTTTTTTATTCCTTGGTCTTTTAAAACAATTTTCAGTTTTATTGATGGTATCTTCTGAATTTGTTTAAATTTTTTTTTTTTTTTCCTGTGATCTCTAGCACTTGTAACTCTTTTTCTTCCACAGGTCTCTGTTTTCTGCGCTTCTAATTTGACCCCCATTTAGAGTTTAAAATTTGTTGCTTTGACTGTAGCCATGATAATTTTGACAACTTTGGCAATATTTCTTTGGATGTAACTTGTTTCTTGCAGAAGGACAGTTACTTTTGCATATTTACTAGAGAAAACATATTAGATTTATCCAATATTAATCCTTAAATAACTCCAACACTAATTAAGTTATTATATGACTGCACAATTAAAAAAAAAAAAAACTTTAAAACAACTGAAATTTTATTATTTAAGTTGTAAAGACAGTCTAAAATAATGTAGGTCCCTAAAAAAAACATATAAATTGAGTTATGACAGACAAAATTAACTGAAAGTTTTTAATTTTACATAATTTAAACTTACCATAACTTTTATAAAGTTGAAAATATTTTTTAAAATTAAATATATTTTATAAATTTTCCTAATTAAAAACAAAAAAAAAATGACAGGAAGTTAAATTGCACATAAACAACAAAAATTAAACATCATTAATCCCTACCTATAAAAAAAAAATCCAAAAAACTAACAAAATCTGGACATTTCTCTTTTGAGTCTAATAATTTGAGTCGGTACTGTATATATATATATATACAGGGCGCAACAAATCGACGAACGTTTGTTAAAAAAAAGACAGAAAAACGAACGTCACGTTTCCTTACTTTTACTTAAGCAAACGTTGGCGTTTGCTTAAATTTTTTAAAGACGAACGCATATCTTCAGCAATTTTTTATTTCCAAATAATTATGCGATTGATAGTTTTTTATTTATTATAAAAAAAACATAATTAATATAAAAAAAATAAGTTACTAAAATTTAAAACGCAGTTTCAATGACATTAAAAGAAACCGCTCTAATACTTTCTTCAATAGCGTTTCTTTTAAGTATGCAACTCTAGAAAAATTATATTTAGCATGGTTTTTACATGCGTTTACAAAAGTATGGCAAGTTTAACTTAAAATGAATGCATTTGCAATTACTTTAAACGGAACCATGCTAAAACATTCTTTTTTCCAAAGACGTGCTTTTTTTAAATTTTCTTATTATCATTAAATTAATGTTTATTTGCAGTTTTTAAAGTTTTAAAAAAATTTGCAGAAATATATAAAATTTAATAGATTTTATAGAACTATTATGTTGATTATAGTTTTCATTTTTTACTGTGCGTTTAACAACAACCAATAATATAATATTTTTTTATTAAATACTTAATATTATAAATATAATAATAGCATATCAGGTATTTGATAGTAACTTACTAAATTATAAATTTAATAACTTATTAAATGCTTAATACTATATTATTATTTTTAAATATTTAAAAAAATAAAAATGTCAAAATAACTTTTATTTTATTTTTATATAGTTTTAAATTTTATCAAGTTTATATCTTTTTTTTATAATTTAACAAACTAAATTGAGAAAAATTCACTATTTTGTATTAATAGATAACAGTTTACAGTGAAAAGTTTATTGCATATTAGTTATCATTAATTTGCGCACACTTTGCAAATGCATAAAAAAATGTTTTTAATTAATAAAAATTGATAAAATTCGATAAGTATCTTGATATATCTAATTATTATATATCTTATTAACTAGAATAAAATTAATTTGAAAATAAAACTCCCTTATAATTAAATAAAAAAATTATTTAAATAAAAAAAAAAAAAATTAAAGAAGTTAAAATGAAACTGGCTTATTCTGGCCGACACACGGGTTCGAAGTGGAGGTGCGCAACCATCTATTAATGAAAAAAGTCCTCTATATCTTGAATTTCTCTTAAATAGAAAAAATATATATAAAAAAAATTTTAAAAAAAGTGTGCATGTGTGGAGGTGTGGATATTTGACATACCTCTTAAATTAGACGTTCGTCAATAAATAAAGAAACGAACATCAACGTTTATTTAATTTTTCGCGCCCTGATATATATATACGTATACATGTATATATATATATATATACACATATATATGTGTATATATATATATATACATACATATATTTATAATTTATATATTAGGATGGTGCTAAAATAAACTTTTTTTGGAACTGTCTGCTGACACCTCTTACTAGATGTGTTCTATACAATCAAATAAAACTGGATTTAAAAATTTTTTTAATAAAAGATTTTTAAATCCAGTTTTATTTGAATGCATAGATAAACAGGTTCCTAATCTTATTTTTTTGATAAGATTAGGAACCTGTTTGATGTTTAAGGGTCTTGTGGCTCCCCTAATTTTTAGGGGAGTCACAAGACCCTTAAACATCAAACAGGTTCCTAATCTTATCAAAAAAATAAGTTTATCGAAAGTATGTCATGTTGGATCTCAAATGAAGCAAAATTTTATAAAAATTTTTAAAATATGAATCATTTTATAAATAAATTATTATTTTAGATTTTAATATGTAAAAAATAACATTTTTTTTTAACTTGAAACATAATTTAAGAATAAAATATGAATAATTTATTCATATTTTTAAAATTTCATATAATTTTGCTTTATTTGAGATCCAACATGACATACTTTTGAAAACCTTTTATTTTTTTATAATATTAGGAACCTGTTTGATATTATCAACTACATCAAAAACCGTTATAACGGTTTGTAATGTAGTTGATAACTAGGGTACAACCCAATAAGTTACGCCTTATTATAAATTTAAAAGTTTGAGTATACTTCTTATTTTTTACAAGTTAAAATAGAGCAAGTTATATTTTTTAATTTATATTTGAGTTATTGGATCTAAAGCAAAACACCATTTTTTCAAAACTGAAACTATGGAATATCTTATTTTTAAAATGTTTAAACAATAGTTGAAATTTGAAGAGTATATGTTTTTTGAACATTTTTCCAAAACAAAAAACTTAGTTTTTCATTAAAAAGGTTTCAGTTAAAATTTATTTCTCCTCGCAACAAGTAGGAAAATATAAAAAAATGTGAGGTCTCAATGTTAATTGTGGACATAATCAATGTCAAATTAAAAAATGGCCTCATTAGATTTTAGGAGACAAGGCAAGTGTGGTTAAAAAAAGTACACACAGGAATGAGAGAAAGCTAGTAAAAATAGTAAAAATAAATAGGTTTATTACATATTCTGCAATTATCAGCAAGATGAATGAGGTGGGACTAAATATATATATTAACAATCACTGTTCCTTTAAGGTAGCATTGAATTATAATGACATTAGAAGGCCAGCACCAAAGTCAAAATTAATCAATCTTTAAAGAAAGGATTAGACAATGGAGTTCTGTATTTTCATTGTTAATGACTGGAAATCTGCAAGTCAGTATATTACAAAACCCTTTTTCCTAATATTTTATTTTTTGTAGTTCATGAATAGTTTTGTAATGTTTTATTCTCGCTATGTAAAAAGGGTTTCCAATGAAAATTTGTATAATCCAAGATTATACAAATTTTTTACAAAACTTGTATAATCCATGAAAAGTTTGTATAATCCAAGACAATTAAATATCCTCCTACAATCATGCTTTGATCAGTTATCAGTTGAAAATGCCTTGATTGTTAGAACATTAAAATAAATACATGAAACTCATCTTTTACTTCAATAGAAGAAGTGCTTTCTGAATAAGCAGAAGAAAGTATTAATGAAAGATAGAACCCTATGTCACAGTGTGAAATCCATTAAAAATTATTAGTCTTTCAAATAATTTCACTTTTTGAGTAGCCAGGGAACTCCCCAGAAAATATATGAGGCTTATTATAAAGAAAAATTACTGTAGAAAAGGTCACAAATTGAATGCATTCGCTTAATAAAAGTTATTTGGAATTGGAACCATAATGCAAAATGGAAAGAAGGCTTTAGATTGCATTTAGAGTTTTTTAAATTGGATTTGTGCAGTGATAAAAAATAAAAGAGGATAAAAAAAATATTAAGAGTTTATGTAAATAAACATTGCTTTTTGTGTATTTTATGTTGAAAAATAATTATTTTATTTAAAAATAAAGTTTATATCTGTATTTTTAAAAATAACATTCTCTAAAAAGAGAAAAAATACAAAAGAATATTAATGTGGACCTTTAATTTGACCTTAAACTGTATATTTAACATAATAGTTATTATTGCTAGGATATTAGTATAATTACTACATAAAAATATCTTTAAGGATTTTTTTTAAATAAAACTTGCTTTTCTAAACTAAATTCAAGACTTTTAAAATTGAAAACTCTAGAAATAAGTATTCGCTATTATCTAATACTTAACCATCACCACCATCTAATACTATGTCACCAACATCAATTATTAGGAGCAAATATTAGCTACCACATAATAAATACTAAAAACCTATCCTTAAATAAAATTTACAATTTTGAATGTTTTTGCTCTGTAGTTGTTTTTACTCACTTGCTATATGCACTTACAATTACAAATTTTGGATTTTTAATTTAAAAAAAAATAAATTTTTAATTAAAAAAATTTTATATTTCTATACTACTTTTACATTTAGGGTATAGGTGGTGGTGATTATAGTGATGATGATGGAGTTGATAACGATATGATGGTTGAAAATAATTTTTATATTTTTATACTACTTTTACATTTAGGATATAGGTGGTGGTGATTATAGTGATGATGATGGAGATAACGATATGATAGTTGAAGATGAACATTCGCCTGACAAAATTTGTATGAGTGATGGATTTGATTTGGTTGCCCAGCCTAATAAGGTGTTTTTTCTCATTTTTTAATATAAAAATAATTTACTAGCATACACATACTAACATTTTTAAGTGGTATTCTTAAAAATATCTTTCTTAAAATTGTTTTTTTATTATAAATCAACACTGCATCAAATAAATTGTTTTACAAATATTTATTTCAGAGTTTGATTTGTTCCTTGTGATCTTTAATGTTACACCACTAATGCATCTAGACACACTAATTTTAGGTTTTATTGACAGTCATAAGTTTTTACTTACAAATCTCCATCAAAATCTTTATTTAAGATAATATTATACCTCCAGACCCTTGAACATTTAATGGATCTCTAATATAAATTTAAAAATATTATTTCAAAAGTATGTCTAGTTGGGTCTCAAATGTAACGAAATTCAATAAAAATTCAATAAAAATAATAATCATGATAAAACATATTGAAAAAAATTATTATAAATAAAAAATCTAGTAAAAAATATACTTTTTTTTATCTTAGTTAAAAAGTTTCAATTGCTATGCAGTTAAATCTGAAATAATTTTTTTCATAAAATGATTATTATTTTTGCTTCATTTAGTACTCAACAAGACATACTTTTAAAAAACTTTTTTTTGATAATATTTTTTTATTAATAAAAACAGATATTTAATCTGTTTTTATTAATAAAAAATATTTTTAGAGGTGCTTCTAAACCCTTGAACATTTAGTTCAAGGGTTTTGAAGCACCTCTAAAAATATTTTTTGTTTAAAAACCTTTTAAGTTCAGCGTTGTTTTATTATATAGAACACATTAAGGGGTTGTTTTTTTTGTTTTTTTTTAACATCTTCGCTTCCAACAAAGCTGCAAGCAACTACTATTAGAGTTAGAAGTTACTGGAAGAGAAAAGATGAAGTTTATAGAGCAAGATAATGATTGACAGGCGACTTAAAAGATTTCAAGTTATATGAATCAGGAAGAAAAAAAGAAGGAAACGAATTCCAAAGAACTGATGTTCGAGGAAAAAACTAGATGAATAAAGGTTTTTGGAGCACTTGGGAACAGTCACTGTAAAAGGATGAGACTTAATTGAATGACATGTAACAAAAGAATGAATTTTTTAGATGGCACAAGAAACGCTAGCTCTTTAGAGCACTGCCCATTATAGTATTTATATAAAAGAGAAAGAGTAGCAACACTACAATGATGTGATAATGGTTGGAGGTTATCTGCAAGAGCAGGTCCAACTATGTTTACAATGAGTTTTTGCACCTTGTCTAAAAAAGAAAGGGTATCATTAAGGGTATCATTGGAAGATCCGCCCGAGATATAGCAACAGTATTCAAATTTAAAAAATTTTGAACAATCACGACAAATTTAAAATTTGTATAGATTAAGAATAAAATTCAGAGTAAGAAAGTGTCGAGTACGATAAAGAGATGCAACCTTAGCAGATGTTAATTTTGCAATTGAATTTGATATATGGTTTCCAAGAAAGATCAGAAGTAAAAATTAATCCTAGAAGATGAAAGGTAGATGACTCATCAAGTGCATTACTGTTTATAAATATAGGAAGATCTAAATTATTGTGATAATGATAATGAAAAAAATTGGGTTTTATCTGAATTTAAGTTCACCAGCCACTGTAAGCCCCATGCTGTAGCAGAAGTGAGATCCTTTTCAAATGCCCCCTCCAAGCCACCAGAGAGTGTTGGCTTCTTATCAAGATAAGAATAAATGGTAGTATCGTCAGCAAATAATGCCACCTTAGATGAGAGAATATCCGGAAGATCGTTAATATAAATTAAAAAGAGTATAGGCCAAGGGTAGAACCTTGAGGTACCCCAAAAGTTACTGGATATAAAGAAGAGTGCTGTCCATCGAGGACAACTTTTATACTTGTCTTTAAGATTATTGAATGGCTCAATAATCTCAAAGATGTTACCTGAAATTTACGTTAGAAGAAAGCTTATAGAGATGACCAGCATGCCAAACTTTATCAAAAGCTTTAGAAATATCAAGAGCTATAGCCTTAACCTGTCCAACTCTATCTAATGCAAGATAAATCCTATCTTGGTCAATTTGATCAGAAATAACATTGAAAAGAGGGCAGTCTTGAGATAAAGGTGAGCAATATAGAACAAAGAGAAAGTCGATAGAATGAAGTGGTGCTAAATAAAAGCACAGCACAGAGAATAGTCGTTGGATTCGAACCTAGTACATGCTGCAGATATTTTTCAAAAGTCTTATTTTTTAAACCACCCTAGGCGTGCGATCGCACTTGAATCTTGACCATGCATAATTTTTTTTTGAAAGCTTGACCACGGCTCTTTTGATAATTAAAATCGCAATGAAAAAAATGAACAAAGGAAAAAAATTATAAACAGGCTAAACTATTAAAAAAAGAAAGAACTTCTAACGAAAGAGAAATTTAAAAAAAAATTCAAACTTATAGCTCTAAAAAAAAAAAAATTAAAAAAAATTAAAGCTCTAATAAAAAATTATTTTTAATTTTGTTTTTCAATTACCTTAAGGTTGAATAAATCGTCACATTGGTTTGACGAGTTTCGAACTGATTTTTTTTTATATTAGAAGAATAGTAATTAAATCTTTTTTTCTCTTTATTTTAAGGACTAAATAAAAATATTTAGACATTAAAAAAATATTTCGCTATCTAAGTTAGGAAACTGCTGCGCATCACTTGATATTTGCAATAAATTATCGGCAAAGACATTGCTATCACTATCAGAATCATAAAATAAAGTTTTGTAGCAAAATCAAGAAAGATTATCGTTTGTTCTGATCAACTCACTCAATAATTGGCCAATGTATAAATATGTTTACATAAAATATCTGAGTATTTATACAACTAAACAAAATAAAAGTTTAAAATAAAACAGTAGTTATTATAAGAGTAATTACAGCATCAATGTCTACTTGTCTTAAATGTGTGGTGTCTGTCTAATGCTTTTTCAAAAAAATTATGTAATATTTCATAAATCAGACAGTAAATAAGAGAAATAGAAACAAAAAAAAAAGCATTTAACCTTTGTTAAGTTAAAAAAATTAACAAATGGTTATTGAAAGGAATAAAATGAATGGTGAAATACACTCATATTTTTATGCACAGCAATGACTTGATGGATACACTATATAGGCTAATGGCGCGACACCAAACAACGGTCTAGAAGACTATCAATAAAAATCCAATAAGAAATTTTTTATAGATGCTGAAAAATATTAGATTATATTATATAGATAAGATTATATTATATCTTCCTTAAACGCTCATATGTGCATGAAACAGACACTAGAGCTTTATCCCTCCCTAAAGTTGGTCTAGATTAGCCTTTAATTTATAAGTTTTTTATTAAGGTTTTTTTTTTTTTTTTTTTATTTGCTAAATTATGTTTTTAAATTGTTAAAAATGATTTATTTATTTATAGCTTAATTTTTTTTTCTTCGAAAAACCAATGGGTTTTTTTATTTGAGTACCTGCTTAAAAAGTGTTGAGAATACAAGTTGACTTTTGAAAAATTACATTCATTATTAAAAAATGTATATATATATATATATATATATATATATATATATATATATATATATATATATATATATATATATATATATATATATATATATATATATTTAAAATAAATAAAAGTTTTATCTAATATTCTATAATAGTTTATTTAATAGTATCTTAAAACTTTATTTAAAAGTGTTTAGCTTAGTGTCAACAAATTTTATTAGAAAGTATATATAGGATAACAATTTTATGGATTCATCAAAAGATTTATTTAAAAAATCGCTTTCATGGTTGTTTTTAAAATTAATTTTATGAATTGTTTTAAAAAGATTTACATTCTTTATAAAAAATACACTTTTTAACAATATAATATCTTTTAATAATTTAAATAAATGTGTTTTATAGTATACAATCTTTAAAAGCAATTTCTTGCCTTATTGCCTTATACTTTAGCGCATTTTTTTAACATTTTCAAAAATTTTAAAAGCCATAGTTAAGCTGGTTCAAAAAAAAAATGTTTGGTAAGGAATAGAGTATGATCACATGCCTTTCCTGTTTACGAATGTATATATATATTGGGTTGGTCTAAATTTTACACATTATTTAAAATGCAGTCTCCACAATCCTAAATTTGTTCTATTTAATAAAATAATACTGAAATTGAAAAAATTTTTTAGGGGCAGCTATAGCCTCTTAAACATCAAACAGGCCCCTAATATTTTCAAGAAAAAAAGTTTTTAAAATATATATATATATATATATATATATATATATATATACATAGAAAATCACTTAACAATTTTCAAAATTTTGAACTAAAATTTGACCCTGAAAAAAAGAATACAAAAAAAAGGAATAGAACTAGAAATGTAATTTGGTTCAACCCCCAAATATAGCAAAAATGTTTCCACTAACATAGAAAAAAGTGTTTTTAAAATTGGTCGATAAGCATTTCCCTCCCTCTAAAAACTTTTTTTTTTTTTTTAATTATCTTCGCTTCCAACAAGGTTGCAAGCAACCACTAATTAGTGTTGGAAGTTACTGGAAGAGAAAAGATGAAGATTGTAGAGCAAGATAACGATTGACAGACGACTTAAAAGATTGCAAATTATATGAATCAGGAAAGCAAGATGAAGGAAGCGAATTCCAAAGAACTGATGTTCGAGGAAAAAAACTAGACGAATAAGAGTTTTTAGAGCACTTAGGAACAGTAACAGAAAAAGGATGAGACTTAATTGAATGACGAGTAACACGAGAATGAATTTTAGTAGATGGCACAAGAGACACTAGCTCTTTAGAGCAGTGCCTATTATAGTATTTGTAGAAAAGAGAAAGAGAAGCAACATTACGACGTGACAGAGGTTGAAGGTTAGCTGCAAGAGCAGGTCCAACTATGTTTACAATGCGTTTTTGCAACTTGTCTAAAAGAGAAAGGGCATCATTAGAAGATCCGCCCCAGATATGGCAACAGTATTCCATACAAGGCTGGATTTGAGATTTATAGAGATAGAGAATAGAATCCAGAGTAAGTAAGTGACGAGCTCGATAAAGAGAAGCAACTTTAGCAGATGCTAATTTTGCAACGGATTTGATATAAGATTTCCAAGAAAGATCAGAAGTAAGAATTAATCCTAGAAAATGAAGGGTAGGAGACTCATCGAGTACATTACCGTTCATAAATATAGGAAGGTCTAAATTATTGCAATAACGATTGGCCGAAAAAAATTGAGTTTTATCTGAATTAAAGTTCACCAGCCACTGCGAGTCCCATGCTGTAGCAGAAGTGAGATCCTTTTCGAGCTCAGATGCCCCCTGCAAGCAATCAGAGGGAGTTGGCTTCTTATTTTGACAAGAATAAATGGTAGTATCATCAGCTAACAATGCCACCTTAGATGTGAGAATATCTGGAAGATCGTTAATGTAAATTAAAAAGAGTATAGGGCCAAGGATTGAACCTTGGGGAACCCCTGAGGTTACAGAATAAGAAGAAGAGTGCTGTCCATCAAGGACAACTTTTATACTACGATTGGAAAGGAAGGATTCAATAATCTTAAAGATGTTTCCAGATACACCATAAGAAGAAAGCTTATGGAGGAGACCAGCATGCCAAACTTTATCAAAAGCTTTAGAAATGTCAAGAGCAATGGCCTTAACCTCTCCACCTTTATATAATGCGCGATAAAACCTATCGGTTATTACTGATAGCAAATCAGCCGTAGAACGAGAAGATCGAAATCCATACTGATGATCAGAAAGCAGGTTATGAGATACCAGATAAGAGATTAAGTGTTTGTTAATTAAAGATTCAAAAATCTTGCTTATGATAGGAAGAAGACTAATGGGACGGTAGTTAGAGGAGTCAGATCGCTCTCCAGAATTTTTAAAAATATGGATAACAGATGCTGCTTTCCAACAGGCTGGGTAACAAGACTTACATAAAATTTTTAATCGGAATACTATTAAAGTTAGCTACAGTTACAAAAAATATGGAAAGAATTATAAAAGGTCACAATAATGCTTTGTTAAATAAAAATGAAATCCTAAATGAAAAAACTACAGAAAATTGTTATTGTAAACAAAAAAACAATTGTCCAATGAGTGGAAGTTGTTTATCATAAAATATGGTATATAAATGTGTTGTTTCCTCTAAGAATGTACCAGATAAACAATATATTGGCATAACAGAGGGTGAATGGAAAAAACGTTTTGCCAATCATAAGCAATCTTTTTAAAAATAAAAGTTATTCAAAAGACACCATGCTGTCAAAATATATATGGGAACTAAAAGATAAAAATATTGATGATTTTATACTGAATTGGTCCATACTATTTCTACAAGAAAAATTTCAAATAATTTATCAAATAATTACACATGCAAACCAAGAATGTTTGTTAAGCAGAAAATTAAAATTGATTTCTTAATATATATATATATATATATATATATATATATATATATATATATATATATATATATATATATATATATATATATATATAGAGAGAGAGAGAGAGAGAGAGAGAGAGAGAGAGAGAGAGAGAGAGAGAGAGAGAGAGAGAGAGAGGGAGAGAGAGAGAGAGAGAGTTGATAATACAAAAGTATAAATAAATAATAAAAACAATTAATTAACTGTACTAATTTAAAAATCAGTTAATTTTGTTCAAAACCTCAAGATAATCTAATTGTTGTTTCTTATCACACGTAGGGTGCCTAATCTACAAATATTAATAGAAATAATAACAATTAAAAAATTTTTTTAATAATTTTTTGGAAACATCAGAAGTATATCAATTTGCTTATTGCTATCTTTTTATTTTCTAATTTTAGGTTCGATTTATAGATATTAATTATGCAAAAGCAGCAAAAAGAATTGATATTAAAAAGTTAAAAGGAACTATGTGGAAAATGATAAAGAAAGACGCAAGTTCAGAAAAGGTAAGATTCACGTATTATACTGGTTGCATTCATTTTTTGTATTAAATATTTAGAGATTATAAATGTTTGAGAAATATTGGCAAGAGATAAGTTTATTGAAGTTTTAGTCTTTCAAAATCCATTCTGGCCAATCAAATTTGAACGCTAACTACTGCAAGTCAAACTTATTATAATAAATTAATTTAAAAAGTAGGAAGTTAAAGGTTTTACATTAGCACCAAAATTGTAGTTAATGAGCAAAAATACATTATTTTTTTTTTTTTTTTTTAATTTTTTTTTCAGTGGAGTTAACAAAGTTCAATATAAAAATTTGCAAAAATACCAAATAAACATTGTTTATGTAATTCCATTGTGGAACAAACATCGTTTTGAGGCTATAACAAATGAATAATAAAAAATACATCAAGTTTATGATTTATGGGGAAAACATAGATTTGAGACATCAATTTTTTTTTGTGTTTTAAAATTACTTTATTTAAAAATAATAATTTTATTATAATATTTAAAACTTTTTAAAATGACTGCGTATTTCAGCACACCATTAAGTACTGGAATAACCAAAAAATAACTAGAGGTTTAAAAAAAAAATGTCATTCTTTGGTTAAGGTTTACAATGTTATCATGAATGCTTAGATATACATTATATCAGTATATTTTTAAATTTGTCGTGATGCTTTTAAAGCAACTACAGGTTTTCAAAAATATCTCTCCTCAGTTTAAAAAATTAAAATAGTTTCTATTTTCTACAACCAAACCTAACTGAATTTAAACTGGAAGTTTGGTTACAAGCACTTTATTATATTTTTCACCCTATTCTATTCTCATTTGAGCAAGATAATAGATTATAAAACATTAAAACATGATTAGAGTGGTAGTGGTGTTATATTTCAACAAGTTTTAAAATTCTTGAAAGCATTTATAAACTTTATAAAACTACTACCTGCTCACTAAAGAAGCTTTAGATGAAGGAATTAGAAGCATAGTGTGTGACCCTAGTGGTAAAATATACGTGAAAAAGAGGCAAATTAAGACCAAAAAATCAAAATAAGTTCATGCCAATAAAAACATATCTTAACCCTGATTTTAACATCAAAGAATCAAGATTTTAAGTCAGATTATATTCAACTTGCAGAATTTTAAGTTTATGTTAGCAACCACATGAATATTACTTCACAAGACCATCAAAAAATTATGAGAATTCTATTGAAATTCATCACTCTAAGCAGGAAACATGTAACTCAAGTTGGTATTTATGCCAGCTTACAAAACGAAATGACAACTATTTAAGTAACAATAAAACAAATAAAATTTATTTTCAATGAAATACTATTTACCAAGAGTATTTTTTAAAGCTATAACATTTAATTCACACTCCTTAGGTTAGCCAATGAGTGTGTGTGGTTCTTAAAAAATATTGTTTCTTAATTTCAAACAAGTTTGTAGTTTTTACAACTTAATGTATTATCCAAGTATAGATTTATTTCATTTTTTTATTGTTAGCTAATATTTTAAAACAAGCGTTACATAAAAGCACTACCATTAAAGCTCACATATTTTGCTAAAAACGAAATTTACAAATTTATATATAATACAGATGAGATAAGAAAATGGGGGTCAAGTATAGGACACGTTTAATAATTTTTGAAGTTAAGTTGCTAAAGATATTGCAAAAACACTAGAGCATATTTAAAAAAAATGAAATTATGCGTGGGTTTGTTTTTCTTTTTCAGGAAAATAACGATAAGTACAATATCCCAAAACCGAACATAAGACAAGAAGAAGAAGTGTCCGGTACCGAATTTTTTGAAGGAACGTATTCTTTTAAAGATATGTACAAAGCATTACCTTCTGAAGTTTCAAGTAATATGGCTAAAAATCTCTCAACACCAATTGCATTTGTATGTTTATTATACTTAGCGAATGAAAAGGTAAAGTTTTTTTACATAAATTTTTGTTGATTTTTTTTTTCTTTTGCTCTCAAACATTAAGTCAACATACTTTGGGTTTAGAATTTAAAGTTAACCGGAACAGATAACATGGACGATATAGTCATCGAAAGTGGTCAAATTTCTAACGCAAAATGTTAATATAATGCTTAAATTTTTTGGGTAATTTAAATAAACGGGAGTATTTTTTATGAATTTAATAAAAGTAAATTTATATAATTTTAAGTTATAATGGATAAAATGCCTCTGATCAAAACATCTTTATGTTTTGTTTCTGTTATTAACAAATTTTATTTTTAAAAAGCTTTTATGTAAATCCCATCTAGTTAAATCTGTGTGTATGTGCGTGTGTTCTATTTCATAGTTGGAATATATGGCTGACTTGGATTTTAATTTAAGTAATGTAAAGATATTCTGAATATTAAAGTAATAAATACTTGTCGGCTTTTTAATTTTACTCAAGTTTTTTTCTCTTTTTTTGAGAAAGTCTTTTAGTAATTAAGTTAAGTTTAAAGGTAGGACATGCTTGAGGGGAAAATTGTTAAGAATTGATTTTACGTTTTTACTATTCTACTATTAAGTACTATAAAACTATTAAACTTGATTTTTTTATTGACTTATAAAACCTTATTATTATTTACTCCAGTAAATTATTTCGAAAAATAATTTAGTAAAAGTAAAATAAAAGATAAATATTTGCAGAAAAATAACTTTTGATCGAAAATCTCGTCTCGAAAGGAAAAAAAAAATTTCCATATGCCTACCACCTTATGGTGGTAGTGCCTACCACCTTATGGTGGTAGTACACCAAGTACAATAATTAAGCTATTTGTGTAAGACAATAAAATACTACTCCTTTTTTGCGTAAAAAAATGCAAAAACTTTGCTATAAGCAAACGTCTTTTTCTCAACGAAAAAAAACTCTTAAAACGGTGAATACAGATGAGTGCAGTATTTTATTGCTAACAATAACAGGGCATTGGCAAAATGCAGAAATATTAAATGGGTAAAGAGCAGAAGGGGTTTAGTGAATACATAAACTTATTTAGGTAAAACACGCGAAGCAACATCGACTGAGTGTCTGGATTAAGATTTTACACGTTCAAAATTTCTGCTTTTGATATACTATGGTATAAGTTGATATGCTATGATATAATTCCTCATTCACTGATATGATCGCAACACTTAATCTATATTTGACATTTCCCATTAGCGCGGCAACTGCAAAAAGATCTTTCAGCACATTGAAAAGAATTGAACCACTTTCACAGACACCTTTGTCGCTAGGCAACCTATGTCGATTTTTGTTTTCAAGTATATTTTTCTTTTGTCAATGTGGGGGAAGAAGTGATTAAAATGGTGACCCAATCAGGACACAAGAATCTACTCTACAAGTTATCAACTGATCTAAGGAAACAAAATTTACCACTAAATTAAAATGCCTCCAAAACATCAAGAAAGTCCAATAGCTACACTTACAAGAAAATTGGAACTAACATTATTAAAAGTTGAACAACTCGGTCTGGAGAAGTACGCATATCATTGAAAATAACAATATACACTCATTAGACAGATTAAAACCATCTATCGAAGCGGAAATGTCTGATAACTTCAACTTAATTTAAAATATGGGTGAGTTAGAAAGAAATGACGAAAATGCCGACAATAAATAAACAACTGGTACGGTAAACAAAACATCACAATGAATCAATCCATATATTCTGAAATAGTTGTTACATTCACGGAAGTTTACAAATAGTACATGTACTAATCTTAAGAAAAAAAACTTGCAAATAAAAGTTAATAAATATATCATTAATGCTAATAGTAATACTAATCGTCCACATCAGTAACAAAACGAACATTTGAAAAGTTGAAGGAGTAAAAATACTACTACTAATAATAAAATGTGTAATCAGGCGTGTCTTTACAGCATAAGAATTAAAAAAATAAATAAATTTTAGTACTTTTAGTTTTTAGTATTTAATTATCTTTAAAACCGGAATTACTTTTCAAATTTATCAAACTATCTTTAAAATTTTGCAACACTTAGTTTTTTGAAAAAAATCAAGTTACAATAAAAAATATTAAACTACTTATAACAACAAAACTCGAAGAACAAAAAAAAATGTATTCTTAAAGAAACGGATAAACTTTTGAAAAATTAAGAAGCAACATTCACAAATATTATAAGCTCAAATCTGAAAATTATTACGGATAGACTTGATTAACTCGAAAGCGAAACTAACACCAACAAATCAAAAACTTTAACCTTAGAAAATAACTTTAGAGATATCAAAGAAACTTTTATCTTCCAAGAGGAAAACTTTACAAATAAACTAGCACAAATGAGCCAAAAGTGTAATGATGAAATTAGCATATTAAAAAAGAAGACTATAGATTTGGAAAATAGATCACGCCGTATCTAAGAATTGACGGAGTAGCCGAATCTTACTCTGAAACATGGAATGGCTTTGCTAGCATAGTCAAAAGTATATTCAAAAACCAGTTGGGAATTGCGGAGGACATAGTAATTGAGAGAGCCCATCGAGTAGGACAAGTAAAAGAAGACAAGCCGCAAACGATAGTTCTCAAACTTTTAAATTTTTATGAAAAAACAAAATATTATCTTTAGCAAAAAAACTTAAGGGCAGTGGAGTATTCATAAATGAAGATTACGCAAACGAACCCAGCAAACATGTCAGCGTTGAATCAACGTTGAAAACCGGTCGCAAAAGGTGTTGCGGAAACGTTGACAAAGTAATCGATTTTGCAAAGATATGTCACGTTGTTAAAGAGACGTTGATTAAACGTTGTAGCGTAACGTTGAAAAAACGTTACTAAAAGACGTTACAAAAATGTCTCAACTAAACGTTGAAAAAGCGTTACTTAAAAAGCGTTGCATAGGCGCCGTAACTTAACGTTGAAAAAACTTTACTTGAAAAGCGTTACTTTAACGTTGTTAAACAACGTTGGTAGTAAAACGTCGATTTAACGTGACTCAAAGACGTCGATTAAAGGTTGAAATATAACGTTAAATCAACGCTCAAATGCGCTGTAGAAAATATCGCAAAATATTATTAAACGTGATTAAACTTGGTTATAATGTATATTGAATTTGCAAATAAAACAAAATTGTATGTTGAACTCTGCACTTGCAATATTTCCAAAGTCGATTTTTAATACAAATAGTAATATACAATAAAAAACATAAAAAATATACAATTTATTTATATAAAATTTACAATTTATAGATAAAAATATAAAATCTTTTTTAAGATTTATGTTTGTGAGTGAATTTACAGGATTTACGTATGCGAGTAAAATTTAAGTGTGTGAGTGGATTTACAGGATATCGTATCGATAAGCCAGGATATCATTGAGATACATAATCTAAATCAAAAAATAAAACTTGTATCATTATTAATCTGAAAGCAAATGTTTAAAAAGTGTTATTGAATTAGTATGATTATTATTAAATTTAAAAAGTAAAAATATATATATATATATATATATATATATATATATAAATTATGTATATATATATATATATATATATATATATATATATATATTATCGTAATAGCATAAAAAAAATATATATATATATATATATATATAAATTATATATATATATATATATATATATATATATATATATATATATATATATATATATATATATATATATATATATATATATATATATATATATATATATTGTCGTAATAGCATAAAATAAGTAATTTTTTTAAAAAATAACACGACGTTTTTTATTCTTGAAACGTGATTAAACTTGGTTATAATGTATATTGAATTTGCAAATAAAACAAAATTGTATGTTGAACTCTGCACTTGCAATATTTCCAAAGTCGATTTTTAATACAAATAGTAATATACAATAAAAAACATAAAAAATATACAATTTATTTATATAAAATTTACAATTTATAGATAAAAATATAAAATCTTTTTTAAGATTTATGTTTGTGAGTGAATTTACAGGATTTACGTATGCGAGTAAAATTTAAGTGTGTGAGTGGATTTACAGGATATCGTATCGATAAGCCAGGATATCATTGAGATACATAATCTAAATCAAAAAATAAAACTTGTATCATTATTAATCTGAAAGCAAATGTTTAAAAATTGTTATTGAATTAGTATGATTATTATTAAATTTAAAAAGTAAAAAAAAATATATATATATATATATATATATATATATATAAATTATGTATATATATATATATATATATATATATATATATATATATATATATATATATATATATTATCGTAATAGCATAAAAAAAAAATATATATATATATATATATATATAATTATATATATATATATATATATATATATATATATATATATATATATATATATATATATATATATATATATATATATATATATATATTGTCGTAATAGCATAAAATAAGTAATTTTTTTAAAAAATAACACGACGTTTTTTATTCTTGAAATGTTTTGTAGTAAACAACTAGGGTTGATATTTGACTGGGGTCGGAGCCGGGTTAGATAAAATATAGCCGGGGCCAGGGCCAGGTTTGAGACCAGGCTGCATAAACATTTATACATCGTAAAGTATATTTTTTAAATTTAAAATTCATGCTATATTTTGTATATTTATGCATATATGAACATCATTGTGATCAACATAATCATCATAATCATCATAACCATCATCATCACCATCATCATCATCATCATCATCATCATCATCATCATCATCATCATCATCATCATCATCAACAGCATAAAAGCGGAAAGCTTGACAATGATAATAAAAATTATGTTGATGTTGTTTATCGTCATCATGATAATCATCATCATCTTTATTATGGCACTATGTAAGGCGCACTCTTCAAATTTTCTTACTTCTACCACAACCATTTTATACTGAAGCTGCTACCACTCTACATGTTAATACCTAAATTACTTTAACTTTTTCTAAAAAAAAAGGTTGTTTGATACAACGTTTTTTCTAATCTGTCTAAGATTATGCCTACTTTTTATATCTTGTTAGAGTCACACCACACATCCATCTGATCATTTTCTCTTTTGGCAAATACTACACTATATAAATACTAAAGTTTATACAACAAAGAAAGGATATTGTATGCCAGCATCTAAACAAATAGCAAACAAATATGCTTATATCCATAATATGTGTGCAAAAAGTGCATCTTGAAAGCTTATATTGCTTCTGGAATAAAAGTTTGGAAGCTTTTATTACTTCTCTTCAGTTTTAAATCAAGCCTCATTCTACGCTACATCTTTCAACATTAACTACGTTTTTCAGCTTTTTTATAAGAACATCTCTCTTAAGAAAAAATTGTCCTTTTTACTATTGCAATAAGCTAATGTATAAATAAAGTCTTGTCTGATGTAAATCTCTGTTATTCTCAGTTTACTAAACCTTGTATCTTATCTTAGATGTCGATTCTAGAGACTTTTGGTTAGTTTTCAACAGTGTTATTAACTAAAGTGTCTTATGGATTTAAATTCTGGACTTACAATCCACAATTTTTGTTAGACAACAAAATTCATTTATTTACTACAAAAAAATATTGCAATATTGTTGGTATTCCTATATTGACAAATAAAAACCCTATAATTATTATAACATATTATATAATAATAATAACAATAATATATATATATATATATATATATATATATATATACAGTAAATTTACGGTTATTCGAACTGGCACTTATTTAAATTTTCTATATATATATATATATATATATATATATATATATATATATATATATATATATATATATATATATATATATATATATACAGTAAATTTACGGTTATTCGAACTGGCACTTATTTAAATTTTCTATATATATATATATATATATATATATATATATATATATATATATATATATATATATATATATATATATATATATATATATATATATATATATATATATATATATATATATATATATATATATATATATATATACATATATATATACATATATATATATATATATATATATATATATATATATATATATATATATATATATATATACATATATATACATATATATATATATATATATATATATATATATATATATATATATATATTATATATATATATATATATATATATATATGTACATATGTATATATATATATATAAAAATTTTGAAACTAAAAATAGTCATGTATCCATACATTATTTAACTAAATAAAACTTACTTCAATAGGTGTAACTATAAATCATCAATTTAAATCATATTATGTACTTCGTTCATAAGATACAAACCAGTTAAAACCAAATCATTCCTCGATCTTTGATCCATCAGAACATTACTAAATAAATTTATACTGGTAATCAAACTACCACAAGTCAACAAATTTAGACAGTATTATTGAAATCAGCTTTGACCAATACTTAATATTAAATTTTTTTTTATTCTTTAATATATAAAAAACAAAGAAAAGTTAAATCCGAAGAGAAACAAAATTATTCACAAACATAATTACTTACATTCTTCTTCGGAGTCCTCTTTAGTCGTGAAATTAAATCCTGCACATACTTCTTTATCTATTAGTAATTATTTAGTAAAATAAATATAAATAAAATTATGTAAAAACAAAAAAGTAGAATAAGTGTAATCAGATTACAATATATATCTAGGCAGTAATAATACCATAACCAGATTCAAACTATTACTTATTCCGGAATAAAAATAAAATAGTTTATTTGATATAATACTTCACCGTTAAAATAAAGCTATAGTAGTTTTTTTTATTCCTATAAAACAATTAAAATAGCAATAATTACTGTAAAATTTAATGACCTCCAGTTACTTTAACTCTTTTAAGTCTAAGTTTGTTGCAGGAGTCAATGATTGAAAAATTATTATAGGTAGCTTTCATTGCATGAACACAAGTTGACCAAAATAACCAAATATGTATGAATATATAGTTTTTATGTGTATACACATAGCTGTCATGTTTTGAAAATGTTTACAAGGGAGACTTGGAAAAAATTTTATACCACTGAATATTTGTCCACTAAAATACCTCTATTGACTAAAAAAGTTTTTTAATGATTTATTACTCTGACAACTAACTTAAAAATGTCCAAATTTGGCCACTGACTGAGCTAAAATTTATTCTGTATAGATATACTTTTATATATTTATGTTTGTGTTAAGCAATTTTTAACAACCTTTAACTATTTTTCTTAACTTATAAAATAAAAACTATTTAAAAAGTTAAAAGCTTGGTGTATTTTAAGTTACTAATGAGGAAAAGAAAGTTATTAAATTATTTTTAAATGCAGGATGGAGTTTCTCTTCAAAATTCAGAAAACTCCTGCCAAATGGGAGAGACTTAATAGGTCTGTATTCAGATACTTAATAAAACTAGTATACAAACTCTTAATAAAGTAATAAATAAATGTTAAACTATATAAATATTAAATTCCTCATAAAGTATTAAACTCTTAAATATTAATAACAATTCTTTAATAAAATTTCCAAACCATTAAACCAACTTTTATATTTTTCAATAAAAATGACTAGACATGACAATATTTTGTAATTTAAAAAAAAAAAACATGTATTTATTATACACACAATATGCCTCTCTTATATACATACATATATATATATATATATATATATATATATATATATATATATATATATATATATATATATATATATATATATATATATATATATATATATATATATATATATATATATATATATATATATATATATATATATATGTATATACATATACATATATATATATATATATATATATATATATATATATATATATATATATATATATATATATGTATATATATATATGTATATATATATATATATATATATATATATATATATATATATATATATATATACATATATATACACATACATATATATATATATATATATATATATATATATATATATATATATATATATATATATATATATATATATATATATATTATAAATTACATATATAAAATTATATAATATATATAATATAAATATAATATAAATATATATATATATATATGTATATATATAAATATAATATAAATATATATATATATATATATATATATATATATATATATAGATATATATATATATATATATATATATATAAAGTAGTAAAAACTATTTTACTATTTTACTACTTTTTTCTTTAAAAAGATTGTGTATTCTTTTTGTTACATACAGTAACATACTGTTTTAAATTTGTTTCCTCCTTTTTACTTTTTTGCTTATTGAGAAATTTAAGAACCTTGCAATTCGCGCAAAACCTTATTTCAGAAAACCTTCATACTTCGTAGGTGGTATCTAAGAAAATCTTCATACGTCTAAGGTTATACTTTAGAAAACCTTTATACGTCGAAGGTTGTACTTATGTATAAACCTTCAAATGTCGAAGATGGGACTTAAGTTTTAATAATTAAAGGTTTAATTAAGCACAACAAAATGCAAACTTTAGATATTAATTCGAAATGGAAGATATAATAAAGTATATAAAAGTAATTAAAGGTACATTTAAAAAATGGTTGGTTTGCACCAACAATTTTTTATACTAAACTTAATATAATTGGCAACTTTTATATTCTATGGAATAATGTTTTAAAGTTAAGCTGTTATAACCATTGTAATTTTACAACTCCTTCATTTTTGGGTTGGTAGAAACTTTACATGGTCATAAGTGTCTCGCTATGAACTTTTATTTAGTAAGAGATTTATTTTATAACTTAGTTCCCTCACATCTGCGGTAAGGGGTCAAGGTTTTGGAATATTTTTATTCCCAGACACTATTTACAGTAATTTTTTTGTAAAACATTTGACAAAATTATTAACATACTTATGTTAGGATTTCGTGCGATGCTTGAAAGTGTGAAATCTACATCACCAAAAAATCCAAATTGGTATAAGCCGATATCGACAAATCCTTACTTCGTTGTGATTCATTTAACATATTTATTATGCTATACTATGTGTGCGTGTGTGTGTGTATATATATATATATATATATATATATATATATATATATATATATATATATATATATATATATAAATATATATATATATATATATATATATATATATATATATATATATATATATATATATATATATATATATGACTATCATAGTATTTACACAGCATTGAGAATCATTTCTGAACACGGGATGAATAGAGTTAATCATACATTGGTCCACTGTGGTTAGACCTCGTTAAATTTTCATAAATGTAAAAAACTTAGCAAAAAGTTAAAATAATGAATGAAAAAAAAAAATCATTGGTTAGCGCGTAATGATGCGAAACCAGAGCAGATTCTTTCAAAGAAGCTGTAGCGCAGTGGTTAGTGCGCTTGCCAAGGAAGCTAAAGATCTGTGGTTCAACTCTAGTTTTGTAACATCACTTGAAAGGAGGCGTGAACTTCCTTTCAATTGCTCTTCCGCGGTGCTCTGTTATAAGACCGTACGGAATTCTTAGGGCATCTAAAATAAATAAAGAAAAGACCACCTATTAATGCGGGGCCCGCTACTGCTATCCTAATTTTGAAGGCTAACGGTTTGAGTAGCCCTATTATATAAAAACATTTAACTGGTATTTATATATTTAGCAACGCAAGTCTATTTTTTATTTCAAGTTTATATAACACTTTCTCTAGCTAGGGTTCGTCAGATGTTAAATAGCAATGCCCCTTGAACCATCTCCATATTTCAAGCCCTGTTTTACGATAGGTTTTTTGTGCGTGGGAGTCAAATATCCATAGTTCCACACTTGTATGGGGGTTAAACGGTATTTTATAGTTGTTTTTTTTTTAATAATTCAATATCAAAATACAATCTTTTATAAACAGAAGCGAATGAAAATACATGTTTTTTAAAAATAGTTACTTCTAAATCTCTAATAAGTAGTGAAGAGAGAGGGTGGGAGGAAAAAATGCCCTGGGTAGGAATTGAAAAAAAAAATTTTAATCAACGAGTAGGGTTGCTAATAAAGATCTAATTAAGAGTCGAGTGGCTGTCTCCTTGCTAACTAGATATCTTTTCCCACATATATATAGAGGTTTGAGTAATAAACAAGGCGAGACTGCATTGTGCTTAAATGGCACTGTTATTGAGTAAATGCTGTGTCAAAATGTTTATTTATAAAAACCACATTGCATAAAAAAACTTAAGAACGGATACGAAAAATAGTATTGGAACAGTTAACACAATAAAACCAGGAGGGGTGGGATTTATTGATATTTTAGATATAACACATAAGTTTTGCAAAAAATTGTAGGTGAGTCTAGGAACAAAAGTATCATAAAAGATATCCACTATCCTACCCCAATCATAAGAGAAATGAATTTAGATACTATTTTAATATACTATCTTACACTAAATTTGAATTCACACACAGTTTTTAATTTTCATTTATTAATCTTTTAGTGTTCTAAAGTTATGACCATGTAAAATTTACAACTCCCTCGATTTGGGAAAATGTTGGAAACCTTAAATAGTCAAAACCATTGAACACTAAAAAAATTTTTAGTTTAAATTGAACTTCATACTCTTTATAATAAATAATAATATAAAACACAGCTAAGTACTAATTTTTAATTTATTCACGTAATATTTCAGACTAATTAGTTTATACCATCATCAGACATAAAATTAAAAAAATTATTTTTTTATTTATAAATTATTACGCTTGATGATCATCTGAGTTAATCAGACTGAAACATCATATAAAAAAAATTTAAAATAAGTAAATAAAGTATTTTATTACAAGTATTTAAATTGATGCTCGCATTTAGATACTAAATATTTTTTTATGACAATCAGGACACAGCCAATTCTTTTTTGGTTTATTATTCAATTTTAGGCATACCAAGTGAAAAAGTTTAATTTTGCAACTCTTTCCTGCACAAGGAAATAACTCACGATTTTCATTGCCATTACAATAACAATATAAATTGTGATCATCAATAAAGTCAAAATCCATATTTTTGGTATCTCTTGTAAAAAATTTACCAACTAATTCTGGCAAGATAGAACTGCTAAATACTTGCTGATACTTAGTAACGCAGGCTGTCCATATAGAATTATCTGGATAAACTCTTTCTAAGTGATAATCTTTAGATGTATTTACAAAAACATCACAAAACTTTTTTTTACATGTATGCAACTGAGTTTGAATTTGAAAGTAATATGGGTGTGTTTGTTTGAGCTTTTTTTCAGTGTTCATTATTTGTATACAAAATGTCTTTACCAATAGCTTCTAATATAAAATTGTCTTTATGGTTAGCAGGATTTTTAATTTCAACACATCCTTCACCACAGCATTCACAAGATATTAAAGCATCTGGAGAAGCACCTATGAAAGGATACTCTGTCGATATAAAAAAACCACACTTTATAATTTTGAAATTAACATGATGATGTTTTACAATATCAAAATATTTTGCTAAAGCAATCTTTTCATTGTCTATTCCTATTTATTTGTAAGGTAGAACAAGACTTACAAAACAAAATAATAATAAAAATATCTCTAAAAAACTCAGACTATTAAAAAATCAAAGTATTGTAACCTAAGTTTTAAGGTTACTTATGGTAAAGATGGTCTGTTCTTTAATGATTTGAACAATAATAATAATACATATATGCATATATATATATATATATATATATATATATATATATATATATATATATATATATATATATATATATATATATATATATAAATTCCCATTGCAACACTTGGAAAATATCTTAGAGGCAACTCTTTAATTGGAGTTAGACCTGGACCTCCACCAAAATTACCGAATCATTTAGAAAAAAAGTTTATTGATTATGCCACATCTAGAAAAATTGCAGTATTGGATTTGGGAAAAGACAATTTATGAAATATGTCTCATAGCTTAGTAAGAAATACAAGATCAAGTTTAAACGTGATACCCCATCAGAAAAATGGTGATGGTTATTTAACCAACGATATAAGACTATGGTTTTAAGAAAACCTGAAGGAACATCATCTGTTCGACATCAATGCATCTCAATCCAAAAAGTTTTTTAAATATTTTTTAGCACTTTAACAAGTTTTTAATAAGTTGGGTACTCCAGTTATGTCTTCTTCAATTTGGAATATGGAT